ACGTAAAAAACAATTTGTAGAAGGAGTTATTGGCATCAAAAAAATCAGATGATGAAAGAATGGAAAATGAAAGCGATGTTGATGAAATAAGTGGCGATAAGGAAGAAGAAGACAATGTCGAACCCTTACGGATGGATCCTTTTGCAAAGTGTTATACTAAAAATGGGGAGACATCTAATCCTGATGTAGAAGATAATCTGGTAAGTGTATTTTCAGATTATATTAAATTATTTCATTTTTTTCTCAACTAATTACCCTTAATCAATTCAATAAGATATATAGATTTTAGTTAAAGAATTACTCTGACTAGTTTGTTATAATTTATAGGGTAAATTACACCCACACCCCTGAGGTATGCTTAAATAACTTTAAGGTCTCTGTGGTATCGATAATTGCACTCACCCCTTTGAAACGTAGTTATAAACTCTAATAGGATAGTGTTCTAACGGACTATTGGTTTCAGGAACTGGTGGAGACAACAAAGAGTTATGGGTGATTTAAGAAATATTGGGAGAGCCATGTCACCCCATAACTCCCCATAAATCTATGTTATCTCCACCACTAGCTAAAAATAATAGTCCATTAGAACCCTATTGGAATAATGTATCCAATGCATTATCCCGTTACAGTTTCTAACTACGTTTCAGGGGGGTGAGTGTAATTATCGATACCATAGGAACCTTAAAATTTAGGACATTATTCTCCACTAGAAACCACTAGAGCCCTCTCATCATCATCTCATGGTCATTCAATCTCTCGTCGTCTTTCAACATCATCTTCTAGCAAGACGTCTTTACAGGTAACTTGACTGTGAGCCCTATTTGTGAGTTATTCGGGTTTTTTTTTTTTTGGTAATCTAAATGTGAATAATAAGTTGAGCTGTCATTTGACTTTTTATTTTATTTTATAGCGTTGTATAGAACTGAGATCTAAGTAAATGTAGATTAATATTGATTGTAGGTTGGAGCAAAAGTATCTTTGAGAAGTATGTCTGAGTCATCTAAAGTTGTGGCTATTAGCTATGTTCAAAGTTTGGGTCCATCAAAACACGTTGGACAAATACGTTTGGGAAATAATTGGTGTGAGGTTTACATTAATGTTGGAGTTGATCCGGAAGATGAGTTAATTCGACCAATTTCACATTTCAAAACTATTGGCGAGGCTATAGGATTGACGGTTGCTTGGCCACAATATTTGGTAATGATCTATGATATATCTCATTAACAAATTCGGAGTTTATATTAGATTCATTTAACTAAATTACTGTTTCATCCTATTCATAGATTTACCAGGATACATAGAAGACTTGCTTATGATTGACGGCCAGGTCATACTTTTGGATCACTTTTGAAGTTAGTTTTTAAGTTACGTGTACATTCTCATCAATTTACATTATTATTAGAATTTTTATTTTATTTTATGCAAACATATTTGAGAACTATGGAAATTTTAATTGGATGGTGGAAGACGGTATATTTTGGATGTTGGATTTCTTGGTATTCAAACATTATTATTATTTTTGAGATTTTGAAATGAATGGATTCAATTTGAAGAACGTTTTCTTCATGTTCATGCAGAGGAGTCTTATTTTTTCGTGGTTGTGGGTTGAGCTTGTGTATAAAATAATTTTATTGTGTTAGTTTTATATATAAAACATTATTGTATAGAGTGCATAAAAATTGCACACAATCGAATCGTCACTATAGGCACGGTAATGGATGTCATAAGACTATTTATCTGGACATATACGATGCCATATAATCTAACATATTAAAACGCCTAATACCGTCACATAAAAATGTAGTTATGGTAATTAATTATCAATAACATGACGCTGAGGAGCGTCATAATAACACATATTGAGACCATAAAACCGTCACAACAAATACTTATTGAGACGCACCAAGTGTCATATAATTAACTTGTTGAGACACTCATAAACGTCACAATACCACGATTTAAAGACGCCTATTGCCGTCATATGAAAAGGTAGTTACGGTGGTTAGAAAAATATTATTGTGACGGTACCGACCGTCACAATATACCCATTGTTGGGTGGAGACAAGCGTCCTAATAGTCTATCTATAGGGACGTTGCGGCGTCACAACAAGATATTATGATGGCCACCTATGTGACGTGATTTAGTCCGTGGGGCTTCCTTCTTCCTCAAAGCAACTTGGTCCGTACTCCGGTGAAGATACCTGCAACGCCGGGAGGGGTTCCCGGCGGGAAAGCTCCGACGATCAAGTCAGTGATTGGAATAGAGAAGAATGTGTATGCAATGTAACAGTAATCAGTGTCTTTTCTTGTGTGTGTATGATGTCTTTTCTTGTGTGTATGCAATGTAACAGTAATCAGTAATCATTCTATTTATCGACAGTACCCATATTGGATTTAGACCATTGGCATAGTTGGAGGTTAACTGTGCTGATGGCTGAATCGGCATGCGCCCGGGCATGCCTATTGATCGATTAGCAGGGTAGCTCCCTGATCGGTGTTATAAGGTAGTTACGGCTAAGGGAGTCACAAGGCAGGTACAGGTACATGAACAAAATTGTTACCATGGGAATCTCCATGGTCTCATATTTGATATCCGAAATTGTTATCGTGGGAATCTCCACGAAATTCATAATTGATATCCGGGAATTTCCCGTTGAATATTGTTCTTTACCTGTACATATTGATTGTATTGTTTATTCTGATCATACTAATGTGCCTTATACTTTGGCCTCTCGTTCCTTATTGATCGATCCTTCACTAGATGGTCCAATTCCGAGTTGAACACTTATATTGTGATTATTATTTGATTCGACAGTTTTTCCCTCATACTCCTCACTAAGGCCACTTGGACTTACTCCTCCTTTATTTTCCTTCTTATTCTCAGTGTCAGGTGCATTAGTGGACGATTGTGTTGAAGGCTCTTAGGAGTAAAAGTTATTCAAAGATTTTAGAAAGTTTAATCTAGTGTTGTGTTTAAGAATGATTGTAATTCGAGAACTATGAATACGAGATTAGTTGTGGCATTTGGTTGTTACGTGTATTTGATATTAGTGTTGAGAAATTAAGTAGGAGACATTGTATTTATCAGAAGTCATTGTATTTATTTATTGTAATGAAAAAAAAAAAAAAAGTACAGTGTATTTCGGTAGTGGGCGTCACAGATGATGTCTCGCGCGAGGCGTACGATAATCAGAAAAAAGAGGTGACTCAACTTCGGAAGGAAGTCCGAGGCCTGAAGGAGAGCTTGGCGGTGTCGGAATCGTCGAAAGAGGGGTTGTTTGCCGAGGTGAGGAGGCTACAGGAGAGAGAGAAGATCCTGCAGGCGGAGAAAGATTCTCTGGCATCTCATAACGCCAGCCTAGAGGAGAAAGCTAAGGGACTTTCCAACGAGCTGTTCGCGGCCGGGGTACAGGCTTCCACTAATTTCACCGAAGGGGTGAAAGAGGGACAAAGGTTGTTCCCGGGGTCGCCTGAGGGTCTTCGGTTTATTGAAGAGTTCGTTCGTCGCTTCTTTCACCGGTTATGGCGTTCGACTACTTTCACCCGAGAAGCTTCGGGTTTAGCTCGCTTTTTCTTTTCGTCGGCGGTTGCGGCTGTTCGGAAGAGGTTAGGTGGTGCCGGCATCGAATTCCCGCTGGTGGAAAATGAACTAGCCGAGGACCTTCCCGATGACGTGATCCCGGGTTTTGAGGGGGATGTTAATGAGGATCCCAACTTGGAATGGTGGAGGCCGGTTTACCAAGGCCTTGTTGAAGAGTTTTCTCGTCAAGGGGCCATTACTGACTTCGTCGGGGACATTGAGGCCCTTGGGACGGCGATTAGCCCTAATGATGCGCAGCCAGACCCCGTCTCATCACCCCCTCCGGATGCTGAGAGTCGAGGCGAAGCAGATGCGGCGGTCCCGAAATGAGGGCCATAGAAAAGACTTAGCCATTTTCTTTGCTTGAATTTTGATTATGTATTTCTAAACATTATTTCCTTTGTTTCTTTTTGCTATGTATCCTTAACAATTCCTCCGTTTTTATGTCAACATGTTAGAAATTCCTTTTTTCTCCAAGTTTAATTTGAGCTGTTATATTCGTCTTGTCTTGACCTCGATTTTAGTCTATCCATATTCCGGATGATTCTCATTGGTGATTATCCTTTAAGCTTATCAGTCAATTTGATCTTGGAAAACCGTTTGTATATTTTAACTTAATGCCTGATCCCAACATCTTGCTTACGAATACGCGACTTAGCGCTACAACGGAACACGCGAATTAACGCCACAATAAGACACGCGATTTAACTACTCAGTGAAACACGCGATTTAACGCCACAATAAAACACGCGATTTAACGCCACAATAAAAACACGCGATTTAACGCCGCGGTGAAACACGCGATTTAACGAAACGGTGAAGCGCGCGATTTAACGCAACGGTGAAACACGCGATTTAACGCCACAATAAAACACGCGATTTAACGCCACGGTGAAACACGCGATTTAACGCAACGGTGAAGCACGCGATTTAACGCAACGGTGAAACACGCGATTTAACGCCACAATAAAAACACGCGATTTAACGCCACGGTGAAACACGCGATTTAACGCAACGGTGAAGCACGCGATTTAACGCAACGGTGAAACACGCGATTTAACGCAACGGTGAAACACGCGATTTAACGCCACAACAAAACACGCGATTTAACGCCACAATAAAAACACGCGATTTAACGCCACGGTGAAACACGCGATTTAACGCAACGGTGAAACACGCGATTTAACGCAACGGTGAAGCACGCGATTTAACGCAACGGTTGTAACTTAAGTAAATAACACAAGGGTTTTTTAACGTGGAAACCCTCCAAATAAGGAGAGAAAAAACCACGGGGCCTAGCCCAGATCGGAAAATGGATGTTTATTAATGGTTGTTTGCCTGTACAAGGTGTGTCTCGATTTCGCTGACTTAATTGCCTCTATCTCCTTTCTCTCTCTCTCTTTTTTTTTTTTTTTTTTTTTTACGCGAAGAAGCGTTTCAAATGGATGACATTCCATGCCCGTGGCAATGGTTTTCCTTCTACATCTGCCAGCTCGTATCCTCCACCAGCCAAGCCCTTTGTGACCACGTATGGTCCTTCCCAATTGGCTTCCAGTTTTCCTGTGTGCTTTAGGGCATCAGCTCGTCGTAGAACGAGATCACCAATTTGGAACGAGCGAGATTGGACCCCTTGGTCATATCGGGCTTTAATCAAATTCTTGCTTCGTTCCATGTGTAAGTAGGCTGCTTCTCGTAAGTCAAAGATCTCATCCAGCTGGGTTCTCAATGCATCATCATTGGTTTCCTCATCGAATGTGGCTATGCGGAGTGTATGCATTGCCACTTCTACTGGAATAACTGCTTCGGTGCCGTAGGTTAAACGAAATGGTGTTTCTCCGGTAGCTGCTTTGGCCGAAGTTCGGTAAGACCAAAGAACCGAAGGTAACTCGTCTACCCAACTGCCTCCCAGTTCGTCTATCCTCTTTTTTAAGCCATTGACAATGGTTCGATTTGTGGATTCGACCTGACCATTGGCCTGGGGGTGTGCTACTGCCACAAACTTCTGTGTGATCTTCATCTCTTCGCACCATGCGCGGATCCTTTTGCCATTGAACTGAGTGCCATTATCCGACACGAGGCTGCGAGGTAGGCCAAACCGGCAACAGATATATTTCCAAATGAAATGCATGACCTCATCCTCTGTTATTTTAGACAAAGCCTCAGCTTCGACCCACTTGGTGAAATAGTCCACCGCGACGATAAGGAATTTCTTTCTACCGGTGGTTTGAGGAAAAGGTCCTACCAGATCAATTCCCCATTGGGCGAAGGGGCATGGAGCGCTCATGATGGTCATTTCTTCTCCTGGTTTATGGATAAGTGGGGCAAATTTCTGACATTGTATGCAATGTTGCACATATTGATGGGTGTCCCTCTTCATACCGGGCCAATAGTATCCGGCCCGATGTAATTTCTGTATGAGGGCCCGAGCTCCTCCATGCTCTCCACAACCTCCTCGGTGTACTTCGTCCAGGACATGTTTCACCTCTTGTTTTCCTAGGCATCTCGCATCTACTGTGGTGAAGTTCCTCTTGTATAATATCTCGTGCCGCACATAGAAGTGCCTCGCTTTATATGCCAAACGATGTTGTTCCCTCTTCGTGCCAAAGCGCTCTCCTCTGAAATACTTGAACAAAGGTGTTCTCCAGTCAGGTTCTTCATCGATCATCATGACTCCCTGCGTCGGGGTAGGGGCAATGAGAATGGTGATTTTTCGTTCAACACAGTCAGCGACTGACGACCCAATCTTAGCGAGGAAGTCAGCTCGTTGGTTGTCGCTCCTCGGGAGTTGATACACCGTGCAGGCTTCGAAGGTTTCTTGTACTGCTCGAGCTTTATTCACATATCCCTTCATTCTATCGTTTTTTACTTCATAATCTCCTTCTAGTTGGTGTATCACCAATTGTGAGTCGGAGTATATTCGCACCACTCGCGCTCCGAGCTCCTGAGCAATCTCCATTCCTCGGATGAAAGCTTCGTATTCTGCTTCGTTATTGGAAACCCGAGGTAGTTTGACGGCAAACTCGACCTCCGTTCCCGTGGGATCAATGACTATTATTCCTGCCCCTGCTCCTGTTGCTGTAGACGACCCGTCCACGTAAATTTTCCACTCCTTTTCGATAGGTATCCTGGTAGTCTCCCGGATGAAATCTACCAGGGCCTGCCCTTTAACCGAGGTGCGGGGTTGATACTGAATCTCGTATTGTCCTAATTCGATGGCCCATTTAACAATTCGTCCTGACGCAGTAGGTTGGCCTAGGGTTTGCCGAAGTGGTAGACGTGTACGGATTACCATGGTATGCGACAGGAAGTAAGGCCGGAGTCGTCGCGTAGTGAGGACCAGTGCATACGCTATTTTTTCGACTTCAGAATATTTGCTTTCCGACGTAGTAAGGATTTTACTAGTATAATAGATCGGCTTTTGTTGGTTATTCACTTCTTTGAACAAAACCGAGCTGATTGATTCGTCGCCTACCGACAGGTATACGAACAGAGTTTCCCCCTTTTCAGGAGTGCTAAGAATCGGTAAACAAGTGAGGGATCGTTTTAATGCGTCGAATGCGAGCTGGCACTCGGTAGTCCATTCAAACTGAGTTGTTTTTCTCAATATTTTAAAGAAAGGTAGACTCTTGTCAGCCATCCGTGATATAAACCGAGCTAGGGCTACTACCTTCCCTGCTAAGGATTGAACTTCTTTGATGGAGCGAGGGGGTGTCATCTGGAGTACGGCCTTAACCTTATCTTGGTTCACTTTAATACCTTCTCGATTAACAACATATCCCAGGAACTTTCCAGCTTGTACTGCAAATGCACATTTCGCAGGGTTTAGCTTCATTCCATATAGACGAAGAGTGGCAAAAGTCTCAGCTAGATCTGCGAGGTGCGTGGAGCGCCTTTTGCTCTTAACTAGCATGTCATCTACGTAGACTTCGATGTTGCGTCCGAGTTGAGCCCGAAACATTCTATCCATCAATCGCTGATACGTGGCGCCTGCATTTTTCAAACCGAAAGGCATTACCACGTAACAGTAAGTACCCGTGGCTGTGACAAAACTTACTGCTGGCTGATCCTTTTCGTCCAGCGGGATCTGGTGGTATCCTTGCGAAGCATCCATCATACTAAGTAGTTCGCACCCGGCAGTGGCATCTACAAGTTGATCTATGCGAGGTAAGGGATAATCGTCCTTTGGGCAAGCCTTGTTTAAGTCCCTGAAGTCAATGCACATTCGCCACTGGCCGTTGGCTTTCTGTACCAAAACTGCGTTGGACAGCCATGTGGGGAATTGGATTTCCCTGATATGTCCGATGCCCAGAAGTCGCTGAACCTCCTTGTGTATGATTTCGTCTTTTTCGGTACCGAAGTGCCGTCGTTTTTGTTTGACGGGTTTACACTCAGGTCGCAAATTGAGCCTGTGCACAACAGTACGAGGTGAGATACCGGTTAGGTCACTTGGTTGCCATGCGAAGATGTCTTCATTAGATCGCAGTAACGCTATCAGCTCGTCTCGGAGAGGTGGTTCTAAATCCTTGCTTATCCGGGTTTGTTTCATCATACCGGGGATGAGGTCAATCATCATCAATTCGTCCATAGGTTGTACATGATTAATCTTATCCTCGGGGTCAACTCGGGGGCGTTTCTCGTCCCCCAAATCTTCTTTGGTGAGAGTATCACGTCGCCCTCTCTCTGCTATCTTAACCATCTCAACATAACATGATCTCGACTGGGCTTGATCTCCTCTGACCTCCCCTACCATTCCGTCGACTGGGAACTTGAGCTTCTGATGAATAGTTGAAGGGACCGCCCGAAAGGTATGCATCATTGGTCGTCCTATTACGATGTTATACGAAGTCGGCGATCCTTCCACGATGACAAAATTAACAGCTTGTGTGCGGGTTCGAGGTGGCGTCCCTATAGTGACAGGGATTTTAACTTGTCCAATCGGTGTCAGGGATCCCCCTGTGAATCCGAATATCGGAGTGGTGACGGGGAAGACTGGGAGGTCCAGCTCCATTTGCAGGAAGCACTTATAGGATATAACATCAACTGAACTTCCTGGATCAACGAAGGCGCGAGCGACATCATACCCTCCAACGTTAATTGTGATGAGGAGAGGGTCGCAATGGAATCATCCAGATCTCCTTCATCTTCAGGACCAAATGATATGGTGGGGTATTGACGACTCTTCGGTGTAGAGATCTGGCAGACTTCATGATTGTTCTTAAGACTACCGAGATGGCGTCTCCTAGCCCGGTGAGTATCTCCTCCCGTGGGGCCTCCTGAGATCATCTGGATGTATCCTATTTTCGGCATTGGCGGTGGGGGCGGCACTCGTGCTTGATTTCCAAACTGAGCTTCGGGCTTCTGTCCCCGAGGTGGATCTATCTTCACAAAATCTCCAATCTTGTTGTCTCGGATGAGACGTTCCACTTCGTCTTTCAGATGTGCACAATCATCGGTCGTGTGCCCGTATTCATTATGAAAACGACAAAAGGTACCCAGTGTCGGATCTCGGCGGGGGGCTTCGCGAGAGGTTCGAGGCCATCGGAGGTCAGCTCTTTTCTCAATCGCGCACAACACATGGGACAAAGGGGCTGTAAGGGGCTGATATGACTGGTACCGAGATCCCTTAGCATCCGGGGCAGTACCCCGACTGTGGGTATTGGCATCTCTTCGAGGTAACATGGGCTCCTTACCTCTTTTTACTTCGCCAACTCGCGCGTTCGCGGCTTGGTGAGACTCTTCCACTTTCTGCTGTCGGGCCTCTTCTAAGTTAATGAACCTAGATGCCCTCTCTAGAAGATTGTCAAAATCAGGCGAAGGTGCAAGCGCTAAAGCTCGGAAAAACTCATCATCTCTTAACCCTTGCGAGAGGGCTGCCATGAGCACCTCATCGCTGGTGGTGGGGACCTCTAAAGTAGCCGAAGTAAATCGCTTAATGTAGTTCCTGAGGCTTTCTTTCTCCTTCTGGCGAATGCTGAATAACGACAGAGAGGTCTTCTTGCACTTCTTCGAGCTAGCGAATTGATTCATGAAGGCTTTGGCTAATTGTTCAAAAGATCGTATGGTTCCGGGAGGCAGCAAACCGAACCATGCCTGAGCTGGTCCTGCTAAAGTGGTGACAAAGGCGCGGCACTTCACTCCTTCTGTGAGCTGGTGGAGTGACGCAGTGTTGTTGAATCGACTCAGGTGCTCGGCTGGATCTGTCGTGCCATTATACTCGAAAAGGATCGGTCGGTAGTTAGCTGGTATAGGGTCGCTATCGAGATGCCTAGCGAAAGGGCTAGATCCTGCGAGATCTCGCGTCGGCCCACTTCGCAGGGCCTTCAACTCATCTATATCGCGCCTTAAGCTGTCAACTTCCGTTCTGACGCCATGACTATTGCCTTCTCGATTTTCCGAATAGCTATCGCATTCGTCCTCAGCTCGCCCTTCGTTCTGGGAGCATCTGAGATCTCTCTTGGGTCGGTTATCTTGAGGTAAATTTTGCGTGTAGTTCCGGATGGCTGCGGTGATCATGGCTTCTACCTCGTCTCGAGTATATGTACGTTCATGGGGAGTTTGAGCCGGGGCCGTGACTGGCCTTCTCGAAGCAGCCTCGCCATCTTGGAACTCAAAAGAGGGGCTACTTGAAATGAAAGGAATCCGGCCTCCCTTCTCGGGTGTGAGTAGGCTACACCCCGACCTGTCTTTCTGAACGGACGATGGATCAGCCGGCGAATCGCGAGCCGCTGCATCTAAATCCTTCTGCAAATTCCTGGCAGTGGTATCTCCTCCTTCCATTGTTCTCTACGTTGATAGCTCAGATCTGGACTTCCGGGGGTAGATCTGATATTTTCCCAGAAGTTGTTCCCAAGATTTTTAGAGTTTTTCCCACAGACGGCGCCACTTGATTTAGTCCGTGGGGCTTCCTTCTTCCTCAAAGCAACTTGGTCCGTACTCCGGTGAAGATACCTGCAATGCCGGGAGGGGTTCCCGGCGGGAAAGCTCCGACGATCAAGTCAGTGATTGGAATAGAGAAGAATGTGTATGCAATGTAACAGTAATTAGTGTCTTTTCTTGTGTGTGTATGTGTGATGATCATTCTATTTATAGACGGAGAAGCCTTGGCCTCCAAGGCTTTCCCTTTTTAGGGTTTCTCTTTACCCTCAAGTCACATATCTTGGGCCTGTATTGTCTTGGGCTCGCCCTACCTCGTTTTGGTATTGGGCTGGCGAGCGAAGGTATTCCCATATAGTTCCCGAGGTCTGCACAATACAACGACCTCGCCCATAACTTCGAGCTAAGTCATCGTGGGCTTTTGTCGTGGGCCTATCATACTGGGCTTATCCCAACGGGCTTACGCTTTATTCGCTATTTGCCGAACTGGCCCGTATCATGACGCTTTTCGGAGGCGTCGCAATAGATGAAGCGTCATAATAGGTGGCTGATGTGACACATAATCAATGGCGGAACTTCAGTGGGGAGGGGGGTTGTTGCCCCCAGATTTTTTTTTTTACTACTATTATATATATATACTAATACTTATAGATATTACATAGATATATATATACACAAATAATTAGTAATTGATTTGGTATATTAACTTTTATCTACTATTTTATATATATTTTTTATTTACAAATATGTATATATGCTCACATTAAAAAATGAATTATTATTTCCACCTTTTAAATTAACTTTCCATTATAATTTAGGTCAAATTACAAAATTCCCCTCTTGTTTGGATAATTACATCTACCTCCACAACTATGATTTTTTTCTTACACCTCCACCGTTATGTTGCCAAATTCAACATAATCATCTAAATTCCATGGAATGTGCTCTAGTTTATACTATTTTTGTGTAAAAATACAGTTTTCGATGCACCACAAACTGATATGTACAAGCAAAAAAACACATATTATGATCATCTTGCTTCATAATGTAGAGTTCGAATGGCATAAAACGGGTAAGAAAGTGATAATATTATATATAATCTCGAAGATTCCACTAAATTTGAGGAGTTGAGGGGGTGGTTGTAATTATCCAAACAAGAGGAGTGTTTTTGTAATTTGACCATACCTCAGGGGGTGTTTGTAATTTACCCTATAATTTATCCTATAAAATATTTTTCACAATCTCAATTCCTAATCTCTATTAAAGCTTATGATAGAAAAATAATATAACATAAAAAAGAAAGTATTTATTTTCTTTCTTCTCAATGTTTAAAGTTTTCAATCCATCGAATTTCTATGTATTTCAAGTTTTTATTTTTTTTAAACACTTTTACTTATTCAACTAAATGTATACTATATTACAATTTATTTTACATAAGTTTATGAATATTGTTTTGACAACAATATATATTACTCATTACTATGTGTGTTGGTTAATTTCTTCATAAATATCCCTAAAACATTTGGGGGGCGCTATCCCCCAACCCCACCATATATTTATTAACTCTCTTAAGTTTTTGGACCCGCTACCAAAAAATCCTGATTCCACCCCTGATCATAATATATTTTTTTATAGTAATGAAGCATCAAAATTAGAAAAAGAGGTTCGCAATAATAAGTGACTTATAAGTTGATAGAACATGACCTAAATAATTAAGAAAAGAATCTTATTAATTATTTTAGTATATTATATTGCATCAAATCACCCCACTTAATCTTTAGATATGAGCTTATAAAGCAAGAAACTTGTATTCATCGGTTCTTGCATCTTTTTCAATTTCCATTTTTACCCCTAAATACTAATAATGTGCTCTCTACAACCCAAAAAGCAGCCCCCAAATGGGAAAAGCAGCAAAGAAGAAGATGAAAAAGAGGAAGAGATAATGGTGATCAGCAGCCACATGCACTTGAAACCGGCCCACAGAACCGGCAATCTCGACAAAGCGGTGGTTCTCCGCCGGATTCGCCACCGGAAGCGTATCAATAAGGTCAAAGCCGCCGTGCAAGCCCTTCTTGGCTCCTCCTCCGGTGAGACTAGTTAGTAATTCTGTGCAAGTATTTGTGAATGTTATGTGATCGATGGCATTACCTGTAAATAGTTATAAAGCTGTAAAGGGGCATGCACATAAAAAGTTGATCTTATCTTCGACTTGTTAACCATGCATGTTTATTACATTAAGTAATTACTAGTAATGGAATCTTTACCTTTTGTCAACTTTTGATTAAAATGTGTTGCTAGAGAATAATTAAGTATCGATTAATCATACTAATTATTATTATTGTTATTGTCTGCGTTCATTTGGGTGGGTGTAGCATTTAAAACAGATAGATATTATATATATACCCACTGGCCACTATTATATATACAACTGTTCCCAAGCAGTAGAAAACTAAAAGAATCTTCGATTTTTTTAGTTTTTTTTTTAATATTATTTTATATTTGATTTATCAATTTTGTCTGCTCCATGTATATTTCTAACTAAATTTAGTGTAAATTAAATCAAATCCATGTGGATTCGAAGCGAGTCATAGAACCGGATTCAAATTGCCCGACCCTAAAAATCACCAACAAATAATTTAAAAAAAGAAAGAAAAAAGAGTAAGGTGTGTGTGTGTGTGTGTGATGTTGATTTTACAAAATTGAACATGGATATATAATAGTTATTTTTTAAAATTGTAAAAAAAGTTTATTTTATTAGATATACACACATCTAATTGGACTAGTACACCGACAATCATAGAATATTAAATAAAATCACTGGCCAATCAAAATTCAGAGACCCACGGCGGCCAAAATAATAAAAAAATAACAAAAAAAAGGCCAGCAAGCAACAGTATATCCGGTCTAGAAAGTAGCACGTTTCAACGACGTTACGGTAACGGAGGCGCCTAACGGTGACGGCGCAACCTCAACGTCGAAGGAGTCGTAACGGCGGAAAAGCTCCACCAGAAGCAACCTGGACGCCAGCACCACGAAATCCTTGCCGGCGCACTGCTTGTTGGCAACCGTCGCCGCCTCACTCTCCGGTCCGTTAGACCAAACCACGTGCTTCAAGAGCCTCTCCCCCTCGGCCCCAACGAACCGGTCCGGCACAAACTCATCCGCCCGGTCGAATATCTTCGGGTCCCGGGTCGCAAACGCCTGAAACCCGTACAGCATCTCCCCCTCCTTCACCCGAAACGCCGCCTCGTGCGATTCCACCACCAAATCCCGTCTCGCCCTCCCGTACTGCGACGCCACCGGCGGCTCGATCCTGAGCGCCTCGTAAACCACCGACTTCATCAGCGGCATGTTCTCCATCGCCGCCATGGTCGGAGCTCCTCCGCCGTCTGACCCCAGCGCCGACCGGATTTCTCCGGCGAGTTCGGCGTGGAGCTTGGCTCCGGCGCGGCCGATCCACTTCAGCATGTTCGGGAAAAGGATCTTCATGCCGCCGAACGAGTTGAAGCAGGTGGTGAAGACGAGGTTGTGGCAGGCCTCGTCGCGTGACAGGCCGAGCTTCTCCGCCTGGTCGAGCACGGCGCCGGAGCTCTCGTAGAAGAAGTCGTACAGCCGCCAGTAATCTTTTTTGATCAAGAACGGCGGCAGAGAGAAAGTGTGGAGAAGCCCGTCTTCAATCGGTCTCGGCAAACCAAGAACCAGCAGCGGGTGCAGATGGAACAACACCCATTTGCTGATAAGCTTCGGCCCGTCGGGCCCAAGCTTCGTCTCGTTCGGGTCGGCGCCGTAGAAAGACCGGGCCAAGAAATTGAACGCGGCTTGCTCGTTAGCCGAGCCGAAGTCGGCTTTCCCTTTGGCGGATATATCCTCCTCCAAACTCCGAAACAGCTCGCCGTAGCAGTTCCGAAACTCCGGGATCACGTGATCGCGCCGGTACGAGAGCAAGAAGAACATGAGCTTCTTCAGAACGGCGTGGTTCGGCTCCGACGGGTCGAGAAAGGAGAGGGTTCTGTAGCCGCCGGTGAGCTCGGTTGACGGCATGTAAGTGCCGGTGAAGAGATCCTTCTTCTCGACTTTATCCGTGTCGAAGAGGACCGGGAAACTCTTCCCGTCGAGCAGAACGACGACGTTCGGGTTGACCGAAATAAAAGGCCCCGGCGGCATGTTTGTACGGAATACGGTTGAATTGTATCTCTGGATTCTCGACTTGAAAAACTCTTCCTTGCCTTGGTTGTAGAAATAGTCCTGCCGGTCTTTCCATGCTCCGATCAACGGGAGGCCGTAATTTCCGGGGATCTTCAGGATTGGCAAATTGGAGGCTGGTTTATAAGGTGGCGCCACCGCCGCCGCCGCCGTGTATGAATTATGATCAGGTACGGTGGCTGTGATGATCGGGAGTGAATAATGCCGCCGCCGCCCTTTGAGGTTGGTGGAAGTGGCGGGCGGCGGTAGTTTATAAGTTGAAGAAGTGGAAGAAAGAGATGACAGAGAAGAAGAAGCAGCAGCCATTGATGAAACTGTTGGAAATGTTGGTGGGATTGAAGATATATAAATAAGATAGAGATAGTGCCATAGTGGTGGACTGGTGGGGATGAAATAAGAAAATAAAATGATGACTTTTATTAGAATAGTGAAAGATTATACTGAATTTCTTAGTGGGAAGTGGGTCCCACTACTAAAGGCACTGGATATGTGCTATAATGCCCCTCCAATAGTGGAAAATGTGAGAAAATTAATAATTAATAATTAATAAATTAGAACAACCGTGAAAAATGTGAAATAAATGAAGATATCCACTTTATTGTGTACTTGGGAAGTTGGATCACACAGTCAGTTATCAAGTATATTTGAGCCGAAAATTTGATTAAATAATTACCCACTTAACACACATATACATGGATGTGTGTGATTATGTGTAAATCTACGGTTCAAATCCACCCCGCAACAGTAATTAGATACAAGATCAATGGACGGAACGAAGTCACTAATTAGCCGCGGAATGAGAGAGAGACCTAAGTCAACACCTAATTTTGAAAAGTCAAAGCTGCTAAGATTAAGTCAACACTTCCACACTACCGGCCAAAATGACAACACCTGGATCCACGTGTTCAATTATATTTTGGTCTTAACCCAAAAATAAAAATAAAAAGGCCAAATTAATATTGGATTTTAGGGCAACATTCTGAGAATTCAAAAGACCACACAATTTCCACAAAGAAAATATATACTCTGCCAAATCTATGATTTTTAAGTCTGAGAGAGAGTGTTTCCAAACTCCGGTTTGAAGAGATTTATGCCGAGTTCGACTTGGAATACTTCGCAAAATTCCGTGATCAGTGATTTATGAGTGATATCAATCAATTCAGAATCAACGGTTTGATGATGATGATTATTATTATCTTCTTCTACGTACCGTTTAGATGGAGAATTTTCTTTGAGCAGAGACTTTATGCTTCCGACTCTGCGATTCTGAATCCCGCATGGAATTATGTTCTGAAACGGAGTCATGTCTGTGGTGACATTCAATGCCAAGCCGTGATATGTTATCCATTTCGATACTTTCACTCCAATGGCTGCTAATTTCGCATTACCTGGAAATAATCAAGAATGTTTACACTTTATCAACAACAGATATAGAACAAAATTTACATGACAAAAAAATTCTCTGCATATCACATTTAATAGAGATTTTAAGGTGAAACGAATTAAGTGGTGGGCTTTACGGGATCTTTTCATGAACAATTTTCGAAATATTTGTCACAATGTTTCGTCAAAGTCACTTGATTCTATAGTAAATCATCACCATCGAACAGAAGAACTAATAATGATTCCGATTCTTGCTCAAAACCAGGGTGCTAATACGCATCTAATACAACCTGTTTTATATGGTTTTAAAATCCAATCACTGGTTTTACCAGACATATATAAGTAACAGACAATCAACTTCACGACAGAAGAACCAGCATGGAGCTTAAAGGCCTTTCCTCCATCAAAGCAAAAGCTATGACTGAACATGTATTTTCCTTTATTACCTATATTAAAAATCCTAAATTTTAATTTTTGCTCTATAATAATAGATATTCAACTTTCCCTGTTGTCTTTCTATTCAACTATTTGGGCTCCATCATTTCATTCTCGTGGATTCGGACCCTCTCACTGGTAAAGTTGGTGCATATGATTTTTCCAAAATATGAATATAAAAGGACTTCTATTTCAAATACAGTTAAACCTCTATAAATTAATACAGTTGGGACTAGGGAAATTCTATTAATTTAGCGAATTATTAAATTATCAAGTTAATAATTTAACACATTATCACCGAGTCGGGACCGAGAGAAACTATTATTTAAGCAAGGTTATTGATTTATCGAGTACTACTTTATCGAGGTTCTACTCTACATATTGTGCCAAGAAAAGACCAAAATTCCCTTTCAGAGCAGCAAAGCATAGAAATCGAGATAATTACCTACCCAAACACCGGTTAAGCCCTCTACGCGTGAAGCTTCAATACCAAATGCCGAATGCAGAGCACGAATAACCACCTCCTCAAGTGCCCTCAAGTACCAATGAAGATCCATTTTGTGATACCGAAGATTCATAATAGGGTACATCACTATCTACAATACAATAAACCACAACTTAAATTATCATGCATACATACATATATCTTATTATATCACCTCTCTTCCAATTCAATAACCGGTTCCAAATAAACTCAACCACTTTAGAACGTCGATTCTTTATCAAATTTGTTGAAGAACTACATACCTGACCAGGGCCATGATAAGTTACTTCACCACCGCGTTCGGTTCGATACAAATTGAAAGGTGCATTCTTCACATCAAAATTCAAGTATTTTTCCGAACTGCCAGCGCCCAATGTGTAAACAGGGTGGTGTTGCAGAATGATCAAAGAATCGGTTAAGTCTTCGTTCTTCTCGATCAATGCCTTTTTCTCTTTCACTATAGCATTTTGCCATGACCACGCCTCAGTATACGGTACCAGCTCTTTGTGCAAATCATATAAATCACACCTAAAAATCATCCAAAACACACACACACACACACACACACACACACACACACACACACACACACACACACACACACACATATAAGAAGAAGCATAAGAAGATCGATAAAACAGATTTTGGTGTAAACTGCCAAAATTATCGATTCATAATTAGAATTACGACAAAAGTTACCTTCTTTTGAGACTAGGGCTAACAGGAACAGTCGAATCGGCGAGACAACAGTGAGATATTTGGGCTGATTTTGATGGGATTTGCGTTAAGTGTGGCGGGAAGGAGCTCAAAATGGGATTGACCCATAGAATCATTTCTTCGAACAGTTGGTCTACGAGTGCAAGGGGCGGAAATTGGGAGATGAGCACGCCATAAAAGAGGTTTTAGTTCGAATTGGTGTTCTAAATTTGGAAATATCAGAAGAACAGAATGAAAATTATCGCCGGCGGTGGAGGAGAGGAAGTAAAGCTTCACTGCGAGCGGCAGTTGGAGAGGCGGAGCAAAAGAGAGCGGTGAGCGCAGCAGATTTGACTCTATGTAATTTGTATTCACTTTTTTTCAATGTTTAAATTAAAAAAAAAATAAAAAAAATTAACATGTATCGTCGTCTACTGATTAATTTATTTTATTTATTTATTTATTTATTTATTTATTATTATTATTATTATTATTATTATTATTATTATTATTATTATTATTATTATTATTATTATTATTATTATTATTATTATTATTATTATTATTTGATAAGTAAGAAAAAATGGGGTGGCAGATGGAAAATAATAAGAATGAAAAAGTTGGCTGCACAATTTGGTCCGTTCTTCATTTCCACTTCTCATTGTTCCAATATGTACAACTAGGGGTGAAAGTTGGGAACCAAATTTTCGATTTTCACAGGTTTCGATCAGATAAATTTCAAATTTGGAATAATTGTTTTCATTCCGAATTCCAAAATTTTAATTTCCAAAAAAAATATCATTTTTTTGGATCGAATTTGGAATTATATGAAAAGTATTTGAAATTCCTCGTTTTCGATCCGATTTAATTCCAAAATTAATTCTAAAATTTTCATTTTCTTCCCGAAAAAATACACCAATAAATAATATATGTGTGTGTGTGTGTGTGTGTGTGTATGCATATTATATCTTAGGTAAAATAAATTAAATATTCAATCATATTTAGGGCCGTAGGATATAGGTCCCCGGTGACAAAGTTTATTTGAACTAAAAGACAAGTCTAACTAAACATTTGCTTCACGTCCTTTATAAAATTCAATCCAAAAATGCCCCTCCACTCAAATTCGAAATATTTATTAAGTAAATTCCAAGCTGTATTTATCATTTTATTTATTATGCATTGAATATTTTCATATTTCCATCTAATATTTTTTTTCTCATAATATCTTTTTGTCTTCCTTTTTTTCTATATTCATTTTAGCATTTTATACATTATTATAAAAATTTCTTTATTTTTTTCCTTTTTTTCCGTCTTAATATTGAGAATTGAAAAAAAATGCTATTTTCTTTTAATTTTTTTTAATTTCAGTTTACATATTTTTCAATTTTTCTGTAGTATACTATGGTAAATTACGATGTACTGTAGTATACTATAGTGTAGTGATGTACTACGATGTACTGTAGTATACTATAGTGTAGTGATGTACTATGGTATACTACGGCCAAATCCTAGTCACCAAGACGTCGCAAACCCTAGCAGCCAACGTAGCCGCCACCAAGCCGTCGCAAACCCTAGCAGCCAACGTAGCCGCCACCAAGCCGTCGCAAACCCTAGCAGCCAACGTAGCCGCCACCAACCCTAGCAACCCACGCTCGCAGCCGCCGCGACTATAGTCACCTACCAACTTTGGAAAAACCTAGATCTGACATTTGAAGCCAAATCAAGCAAAAATCTTTCAAAAAACAAGGAAATCGAATCCAATTTATTAGTCAAAAATATATCTTCCATAACATCTCAACCATAATCACAGCCCCCACCCCGCACAACCCCCACCACACCTCCACCCGCCGCCGCCGCCGCCGCCTCGTCCGTCGCTGCCGCTACCTCCAACACACTCTCTCGATCCACCGCCCGTGTTCCTGCTCCCTCCATTACCGGCGGTGGTTGCCTTTGTGCAATTACTAAAGAATAAGAGAAAGATAGAAAGATGAGAGCAAAGAACGAGAGAGAGAAAGGGGAGATAGAGAGAACGTGTGAGAGAGAGAAAGATTGAGAGAGAGAACGTGCGAGGGAGGGAGAGAAAACAAAAAGAAGAAAAATAAATCTCAATTGACGTAAATATCTAGGTTTATATAATTTAGGGTATAAGGGCAAGATATGAATTAAAAAAAATTAGGAATATGGCTCATATATTATTTAAAACTAAGAATTTAATTAAAAACTTGAATTTGAGTTTGTCATTTAGTTCAAATTAGGTTTCATTTGAGGGACTCGTGCATATTAACTCTTAGTTTTATGATTTTATGAAAGTGGATCTTCTGATTTTTTAAAATTCATGAAAGTTTTCGAATTTTTTATAAAATGTTTAAAACTTTGAGAAACTAAAATGAACTTTTAGATTGCGAAAAGAATCGAAAATTTTGCTATAATTCCGAACCGATCCATCCGACTACCAGCCATACATATAACTTAATACATTTCATTAAGATTTTTCTTGATATACTACATAAAATCTCGAGTTTTGAGCTTATTAAAGGTTCAATAAAACTTTGATATGAGACCAAATATTATCAAATGTGGTTCGAGAAAAAAAAAAAAAAAAAGTCAAAAGAAAAAGTCAATAGAATGAGAACATCAAAAGGAATCGGCATTTCATTTATACCCCCAAAAAATTCTATTTGAAGAGTGACCAAGCCAACGGCTCATAAGTATAGACCAGCAAAATTAATTCACTCCAAATTTAATTTCATACGGCCCGCATTGTTCTTGGGCCCACACGTGTGTGCTGGCCGAGGAAAATCAAATTGCCACGTGACAATTGTCTAATGAATATTCAATAATCAAACACCATCTCCCCAAGAAAAAGTGAAAAAGGGTCGTAATACATACATAAAACGACAAATTTACAGACAATATGCCACGAATCTTCCCTCCATTTGCATGCACTATTTATACAACGTGAAAAAGCCCATCACCACAAAATATCATCACCTAATTCTTTGTTTCTCTCTCTCTTCTTTCTCTCTCTAGAATTAGAAACTTCCAAATTAACCAACAACAACAATGGCTGCAACTAGGCTGCTAAGAATGTCTAAACCAATAGGTCTAATTGGCGTTACCAATGAAGCTGTTTCATTAATGGTTTCTAGGCCTAGGTCATTAATGTGTCTCAACAAAGTAGGGCTGAGTTCCGAGAATCCACCGGCCGGTGGCGGTGGAGAGAGGAAACCGGTGGCGGCAAAGGCGGCCGGACGTGCTTCATCGTCTTGCCTACTCGTTTCGGAACCGAAGACGGATAAAGGAATAATAGATTTGAACTTGATATTGTCATACGTTGCTAGTGTAATGTCTCGTTGGATGAAATTCGTCACGAAACGAAGGGTGTACCGGAGGTTTCATCTGCAGATGTTTGTCGAGAAGGTGAGTATCGAATTTCTTCGCATTCTTGCATTCTTGAATTATTGAAAATTAAAAAAAAAAATTCTACTACTTAATAGATGAATTTTTTTTTGGTGTTTTTTTTTTTTGCAGGCTATAGTTGATTGTAGATTCTTAACACTACTAGGGGTTGCTGGATCTCTGCTTGGTTCAGTGCTCTGCTTTGTTGAGGTAATAATTACAATTTTACAATGTTCATAAAAGAAAGAGAAATCCAAATTTAATTATTAAAAAAAAAGATCGATATTGTTTGTTAATCGAAAAAGTGTTGTTTAACAGGGGTGTTTTCTGATTATGGAGTCATATTTTCAATATTTTCATTCGATTTCGCAAATGTTGGACCAAGGACATGTCGTGATCCTACTACTCGAAGCCCTCGGTAATTGTTTTCCGAATCTTGATCACCGATTTTAATTTACCATACAATACTAAAATGCCAAGTTATTATTGATTATAAATTTATAATTTCAACACTAATTAATTAGTTCTTTTGGCAGATATGTTCCTAATGGGCACAGCAATGCTTACTTTCGGAATGGCTTTACACGTAATGTTTGTCGGACAAGAAAATCGCAAAGGCAAAGGATCGAACCATTCAAATTCAACTTCATCCATGAATTACAATCTCGATGTATAGCGATCATATTCTCCATTTCAAGAATCATGTTTTTATTTTGTTTTGAAAAATCATATGAATGCAATTGTTTTGGTTACTGATCAAAGTACGTAACATCCTAATTTCAGAAACTGTCGTCGTGGATAGGAATGGAATCTGCCGTGCAAGCAAAGTCGAAAATCGGGCATGCTGTAATAATGATTCTTCAAGTACAAGTGTTGGAGAAGTTCAAGAGCATACCGGTGACTAACGGTGTGGATCTTGCCTACATGGCGGGTGCCGTTTTTCTATCCGCTGCTTCTGTTTTCCTTCTCTCTAGAATTGCTGTTTCTCATGCTGTGACCGAAATATAAATACGGGATGTATCGTAAATTCGTTTATTCAATTGGGTACAGTTTCTAGACACACAAGTAACATATAGTTCGTGCTGTATAGAAAGTAAAGAAGGGCTGTTGTAATATTCAGTATAATTAAGACATTCTTTTATTCTTCGATTTTTGTAATTTGCTGCAGTGCTTCATGTTATATAGATTTTTTGTTTTTATCAAGTCTTTCTTGAACTGAAAGTGAAAGCAAACCATCGTTAAGTATTAAAAGCACGCGGTTACGAACGTATGTCGGTACCTAACCCCATAATAAGGAATTTAAGCCAAGTAAAACAACTCAAAGGTACACTATGAAACAACCATCATTAACCAAAGCATTCAGTTTACAATAGACACATAAACATACGTGATCTTTTAGTGTATAGAAACTTTCTTCAGGATTGGTACATACACAAAAGCCTCCGTAGTGAATGCACACGTGGCATATATATGTCTTCACCTCAACCTCCGAGTGGTCTACGAATAAATCAAATCGGAGACCCCACGAAAGGCGAAAAGGAATACAACAGAGGCGATTTTACACCCAAGAGAAAGCGGTACAAAATGTAAAGTAAAGAAGTTTACAACAGTGACCGCTCTTTCTATATTGATGCTGTTATCTCTCTCATTTGTGCAACGGCAGGGATGGGCTCGTTTGGGTAAATTTTAGCAATAAGTTGAGCAAAGTTTTCATACTTCTCGAGAAACTCCCTCTGCCATTAGTTATAGATACCATCAGTAATATATTTAGATAGCAGCCAAAAGAGCATGTACGTTGGTCTAGATTTTGATAGAAGCATGTCACATGTCATGTGTGGTAAGGTATTTACGAAAATACCTTGCACTTGTCCCATAGTGAAGGCAACATTTCATCTGAGGTCAAATTCTTCTGCAATCTTTTATACATTGTGATGATAGACTTGTCAACCTACATAAATAAAACGATATTGTTCATTGTAAATTGTTCAAATCAGTTGCCGAGTCTCAAATATTATTTAAAATCTCATACCCCAGATAGACTTGATTTTACAACCTTGCGCAGATCCATTTTTGACAATCCAAGCTGGAATGGTATCTGAAATTTTTGTAGTATCTTTAACTTTAGTCTCGGATTAGATCAATTAAATGCTAGGTAGTATTGGCAAAACCAATCATTCGTGTAACTATTTCTGCATAGTGTACTCTTTTCCGAATTCATATAAAAATAGTACATCTGGGAGTCGACAGCTGACAAATAAAGTAGCATGAATAGAGTTTCTCCAGTTGGTAAATGTCATGGAAGTTACAATATACCCTATTATCTAGGAGAGGCCAATACAGAGGATCTATAGAATGATTAATATGGGATATGCTTCAGAAACTAACCTCTTCTGGTGTAATGGTATACATCAAATCCTCTATTTTGAGAGCAAACTGAAAGAGTCGCTCAAATTGCTGCATTTAATAAAATAATTTCAATATGCAGATACTAAAAATAAAATTGCTAGCACAACTATGAAAGAGAACAACTTACATAGTATACGATTGCGCTTATAAAGCGGGCACAAGCTTCTTCATAAGATTTACTTGCTTGGCGATAAGCTTTTGCCAAAGAAGGCACAACATTGGCCAGTTCAAACAGACTGCAGATTCCAATCAACTCAGGAATAGTTGGAAGCAAACCAAACAATATATATATATACATAACAAAAGAAAAAATAAATAAATAAATCAACATATCATGTGATATATGAGTACAATCTCATAATAATACCTGTTCTGGAATGCAGCATAATTTTCTAAAAGCAAGATATCAGCATTTTTGGGGTCTCCTTGAGCAATTTTATCCAATGTCACAAACATTATGTTAACCTGCCAAATTTTGTTTTCAAATAAAAAAATACAGACCATTCATAACTAGGAAAAGGAATCTATACTGCAATGAAATATGTCGATTGAAACTATGGCATAATATATAAATTGAAGCCGATCTCTCATGCACATGAATAAGAGTTGGAAGATAAAATATTTGATATTCATATTTCTAAATTTCTTACTCGGGGCAAAATATGACCCAACTTTAACACTAGTTTTTTTCTAAATCTCTTGAAGGGAATTGGTCAAGATATCATCCCACGAGGATATGTTAAGTTGGCGGAGTTCGAAAGGACCCGTATAATAACATATCAAATCTTATTCCAACTTATTCTCATTTTGATCTTTACATCCGGTCTTTTGAAAAAGGGCATAAGAGAGGCAAATACTTTCTTACTTTTTTTTCTTGAAAACATACTCAGCAATACATGTAACACACAACAATAAACTACCTAATAAATCGAAATTGTTTCTCTTCATTGTTATTAGACCAAATGATAATCTATGTTACATGACATGTTTATAGATTGTTGTGACCAAATAGAATAGATTTTTTACAGCAAATCACATCCTACAACAATTTCCTTCTAAAATCTAGGTAACCATATTAAATTATATACTGCCAAATCAATATTACAGATTACGTTAAAAATGTATATACACTTTCATGAAGAAAACTGAAGATTTCAAACCATAATACGCATAACATCACTGGACCGAAATATGTCAGCGTATAGCAGACATCTGAAAATAACATATAACCAGCAAATAGAGTTGAGAAAATGGTTTTAAGAAGAGCACTCACAAACTTTGTGTAAGCCTGATCAACCAAATTCCTCGACTGTCCCTGTATATAATGCTCCATGCGAGTTGCAAGAGTAGCAAATCTAAAAAAACGCTAAACCAATAAATTTACGTATGACAATATGTATTACTGAATGCTAAAGAAATCTGCAAGCACTATACACACAATTATACAGAGAAACTTCATTTCTTGTACGTGTTTTCAAAGTTCTTCACGGAGTATTCAACTTTTCTAGAGAAATAATGAATCAAATAATTTACTTCAGAAATTTGAGTTCATCCCAATTGCAGTGTACACATAACTATTAGCAAAAAATTAAATGTTTGTTTCAATGAATCCCAAAAGTTTCTTGTTCTACCAATGTTCAGCTTCAACAACAGACACTACTGTTGAGTGGCCTAGCAGGTTACATAAACATTTACACTCATTTAATTTAATACATCCTCCTCCAGTATGTATACAAGTCCTCAAATAACAAAATGGCAGTCAAGAAATAATATGACCATTTAGGTTCAGCTTACCTGGGTATATATGACAAGACGCCGACTTGTCTAACATTTCGATCATTTCTTTCGATTTGGTGGCAAGCTTCATCCACAAACTGAAATAGGAGATATATAATCAGGCAGATGAACATCATTGGGTAAAGTAGACAATATTTGTCATTACATGACAGTTGCATTGAACTGAACTGTTCAGTCATATTTCTTATTTCTAACTCAATATATTTCCACATCTCTCCTTTCAAAATGTGTTCTGATAATTTATTAAGACCTCCATGGTATACCAAGGCAACAAAATGAGGGAAGTTATGAGTTGAAAATCTGAAGTAAACCTATTAGAAAGAGGGTAGGTTGAGTTTAATTTATCATTGTCAATGGATAGGATAGCTTCAGCTTCTTTTCTCACACAGTTGAGGGGAGCGCTTTTCTTTTCTATTCAACAGTTTCCCTAGAGATATAAACTAGCCCAATACTTGGTTCATTCAAAACTGTTAGAAAACATCAAAGAATCCCTCCAAACTCGTCCTGCTTTTCATTTCAAACATCATACATAAGCATATAGGACACACCCTATCCCTGTTTCCAGCTCATGAATAAGTTTCTTACGAGAGGATGATAACTTACGCGGCTGAACTGTGTAGAAATTCGGGTTTCAAGGTCATCAAGTAAAATACGCACAAACCCTGCTGCATCAGCTTTTTGACCAGAAATATAGCGTTCTGTAATTCCATGCATAGATATACATCGTAGAGGATCAATCTTGTATGCCCAGTCAACCACAGCATAGAAATCTTCCTAAAATGTCAACATGGAGACGGAAAGGAGGAAGACAATTTTCCATCATAAACAAGGGAACTTGAGCTGTAAATCTCAGAATTAACAGTTTCAAATTACAAATTGACAAAAACCTGTATTCCGTCAAGCAAATCATGAAGTGATTCATTCAATGCCTGCAAGTCTGCCGATTTCTTACCTACAAAATTGCGAGAGTGGGATGACTTTCGTACAGTGGGCTAAAGCAAAATGGAAAAACAATGAAGATTTACCGGCTTTGTCATTTTCATCAATGTCCATGATGCCCAAATCATCATCATTATCATCATCAGTCGGTGCAATTTTATTGCCATCTGGAACTTCAAAACACATGAAGTGTGCAAAGAAAGAACTCTGGAGTTTATCAACAATAATATGAGAAGCAGGTATCTCGTCAAGAAAGAGAAAGAAACAAAAGCAGAGAGAAAATAACAAAGCCTAATTATAACCTCATCTACAAGGAGTGGAATGAAAATTGTAAGCATTTTAGCATATGCCTCAGAAACAATAGAAGTATCTGCACTATTCGCACTTTGATTAGAGCCTGTGGAACCATCAAGCCATACAGTTGGATTCCTTGATGCTTTTGTACTTGCACGAAGTTCATTTGCAAACTCACGAGCCTGGAAAACCAAAACCATCACTCTTAGCTTGCAAGTAGAAATTGCTTTTTTCTATATGCAAGCGTGAACTAATAGACTGACACAAACATCCATTCACATGATCAAATATCAAACACAACTGTTAAATCTATATAAGCAGTCATGTTTCCTGATAATTTGTGACACCCCAAGAGCCACATCACATTAACTGTTATTTGAAAAAAGATTGATCAGCTGAAGGAGAACAGTAAATCAGACCAAAGGAAAATAAGAATATTAAACTGATTCTTGATGATATAATTTTTTTTACATTTGATCAAAAAAAAAAAGAAAATAAGAATATACATGCTACAATACCAACGAGGCAACGACTGCTCCATAAGTCATTAGTTTGCCAAAAAAAAGGGAGAGGCCCCCACTTGAGCCAGATCAGAGTTTTTAGGTGTGACTTGAAAAGTCAAACTCTTTGTATCTTTATACTATGGCCTAAAAAACTGGTTGTGGGTTAGTGGTGGAACAGTGTCGTATCATTATTCTAACTGATAATAAGTTTTGAAAAATAATTGTCATTTTATGAAATAGACCGAAATGACAGAGGGAATAACTATATAAAACCCATCCTGAATTGTTGATATAGTGAAAATATGCACAGTTATGCATAACATTCTCATGATACTCAAATGAGCTCTATATCTGCACAACCAATCTTCATGTGTAGAAACAATAAAAACAACTTATAAAACCTTACTAGATAATATAAATTCTAGTTGTAAACATGAAGATGACAGAAAAAAGAAAACTTCAACGATGTTGCCAGAAAATAATCTATTTCCTGACCTCTCGACGTAGGAGTAAATTCAGAGAGCTGCAGTAAGCTTTCCTTAGTGGGCCCAAGCAATTCTTGTCTAGATTCTGAAATATGCAAGAGAAAGAGAGAGTGGACTGTATGAGGAAATAATGGAACACACCAGAACAGCTATAAATACGGCAAAAGCTCTTGATCATACCTTCAAGTGCTGCAAAAGGCGAGCATATGTCCTGCACTTGTACCGTAAGTCAGCATGATCAGGCCTCTTCAGTTGTCCACGCTGTTATAGACCACGCGATCAGCAAAAAACTTCGAATCCATTCAACAGATTTAATAATTGAAAAACACCAAGTATCTTTCCATGGCAATACCTGAGAGAAATAACTCTTGTCACTTATCATGAAATCCACCAAACTAGAAAAATAGTTTCTTAAGAACTCAGATGCTCTTTTCACAAAATTGTTTCTCAACTTCTCAAGATCTGCCCGCTTCTCTCTAACCTGTGAGTTTCAGTCACTGTTGCTAGTAAGAAAACTTATCCAAATTATTGCACCTAGGTTACCACAATAAATCCTTTTCGCAGTTTCACAAATTTCAAAATATTACTTTGAACTATTTCAAGTTATGTTTCAAGACAATTCATCTTCTTGAAATAAATAAATAAATATATAAATATATATATATATATATATATATATATATATATATATATATATATATATATATAAAATAAATAAATAAATAAACACTCAAAACAGTAAATCATAAGATTTTGACAAATATTGCCAAAAGAGAAGCCTCATCAACCAATCTCAGAAGCAAGTCAAACTCCTCCTGAATCTACTATGTGACACCATATTTTTTACATAACTACCCTTTTGCAGTTAATCTTGATAAAAAACAAAGTAACAGAATCAGGACAGATTGTCTACATACAGATCTCATATTTGAATAGCTACGGTCCAACTGGGGAACTTCAAGGCTCCTTAAAGCATTGGCTAGCCACTCACATGCTTCAATATTTTGAACCATGCGAGCCTCATCAAAAGAACCCCCTGTTAGACATGTCGCGTACTGCATTTAAAAAGAAATTAACAAATAGTAAGACCAAAACTTATAAGAAGAGGGACTTGTATAATCGCAAAAGGTGTCTATTATAAAGAGAATGACACCCAGCATTGTTAATAAAATGTCATTATTTATCTAAAAATAACTATGTAAAAAGACCTCAGATGGGATACGTAAACTTTCAAGAAGTTTTTCAAGTTCCTCAATTAATGACTTGTTGTTAACTGACTGCATTTCCAGCTTGTTATTTCGGATTTCAATCTGCACATCACAAAAGCATATTGTAATGTGTTAGCAAACTAGAGCAAAGCATTTCATTTCCGAGGTTGGTTATGTCTCAGAAAGTGCTTCTGAAATTTATCAACATGGTTTAAATAAACAAGGTATCACTCAAATAACAAATACATGGATTAGATGGAATTAGGATCTATAGCTTCATGAATCAAATCTTCGAAATCACACAAATGCAACACAAAGACCATGACATATATTAGATCAAACATATTATACTTTTCCAAATCATATAATGGTTAAGGATCTATACCGACTCTATGTCCTCTCTCATGTGCCGTAGTTTTAGATTGAAAACGCCAAGCCATTCATCCATATCCTCAACACAGTTGGTGGCTGACTCAAGCCCCTGTAATACCTATCGGACTCAGAAAAAAAAGGTGCATTAAATATTGTGAGGATAACCTATATGAAGTACCCAAAAGAAGGGAACTGGAGCTTGGATGGATTAAAAAGCAATAACATAGGAATTCACAGGCTACCTCATCTATTAAAGGTTCATTCTCCAAAATGGAATGCACATTAGCTGCTTCTAATGCTTGAAGCTCTCGCTTCAACCGCTCAGAAAATGCCTCTGCTTCACCGATGCCCAAGACATAACTGCAAGTTAGCAAGTCCCAATTGCATCAGCTCTGAGTTCCAATAACACAAAAACGTTGTGAAAGCATATGAGACAGATGGCTAGATTAAATTTCCATAATTAACAAAACGAGAAGCAAAACAGAAGACAGTAGCAGAATCTACTGACTCCAGTATAATTCTGCAGGTGAGTCAGGGAATAGTAGACTTGCCCTTTCACTTGCAACTTCTAGAACTTCAATAAGGTAAACATATTAAATAAAATGTCTCATTTAAACAACATGATGTAGCTCATGATTGATGCGTGTTGTCAGGTATATTATCCGGGCTTCATTGACTAATATCTTAGATCTTCATAAAGCATTTCATGGAAAATTGTCATGAATAGTGATTAGTTAACATGATCACGCGTGGAGGTAAAATATAACTATTTTTTCTATCGAATTGAAGGGACATCTGTGAATGACAGGAAGACGATTCTCAGGCAACAAACCATGTTAACAGTGACAGGCAGCGGATAACGGCATAAGTACTACCACCCATGTTAATTTTTTTTTCTAACAACAGTTCAGGATTTTTCTTCAGGAAAAAATATGATATGATGATGTTCTCTTTAGTTTGACTATTTGAAATCGCATCGCATGTGAATTTCGTAATCAACTTGACTAGATGCCATTAATTCAGCTCAATATGATACATTTAGTTTCAAAATAGAAGTACATACGTGCCTAAAAGAGCCTCCATATCCTCTTCCTCCGCTTGAGACACAAGTTCTCTTTCAACTGTCACTTTCATGTCGCGTTCTGCAACTGCAGTCGTAACTGGCCCGTCTTGAAGGATACTTTTTTGCTTACTAGTTGCTGGTGTATTTTCCTGTAAAAGATATAAAATGACTTCACATTTAGAATTAATGATGGAGAAAATAGCAAAAACTGCCCAATCAAAGTCATAGATCATTAGATCTACAAAACCAATCATTTAGGAAGATGATATCCATTAAACAGAGGATTAGTTCCATTTGATGTTATATAAACTGGAAACAGGTAGCTGTCAAAGAAATATTAAAAACACAAGTCCCTATATATTAGAATAAAACATTTATCTGCTTCATAGTTGCTTCAAGTATATAGATGAAATACCATAAAGAAAAGATTCGTTCATAAACTGAGTGATATTTTCATAAGAAACTTGATGAACCATAATAGCATAGCAATCTTTTTTCAGAGTAATAGTCACTACTGTCGCAGTGGATTTGAAATGAAAAAAAGTAGGCAAAACCATTGTGCCCAAATTTCAATGACTAAAATTAACAGAGGGGGGTATAAAGAACATTCATCGGTTAATTACTGTTAACAAACTGATGGATGAAGAAAGAAAGAAACTGAATTGTATCTCCATGCACCTTAATCCAAAGAGCCATCTCCACGACATCTATGCCAACAACTTTAGGGAGACGACCAGAGACATCCTTGCAGACATTTAGGATGCAAATCAGAAGACGGTTCCTTAAAATCAACATTTACAGAAGAAAAAAAATCCAAAGTCATTTTCAAATAATAGATGGATTAGTAAAGAAACCACGATGCATGGCATACCTGTCGTCGACATTCCTCATTGTCCACTGAGGTGGAGCAACACTTTGACTTCTCAGGGTATCAAATCCCTGTATGAACAGGATCAACACTAACCACAGTCACGAGATGTGTTTAACACGGGGCATGATCATGAATTTCAGAATGAAAAAGAAATCTAGTGAGATTGTATAGAGCTATACCAACAAAAAAGTGCATCCACTCGGATCATTTGTTACAACTTCCACTTTCGATAGATGCTTCAGCTTGTAGAGTTTCGCAGGCTATAAGCCAATGAAACAAATTCAAATAAGCCAGTAATACATACTTACTTTCAATTGAAGTGGTTTGTCGGTCAATAATCAATACAAAAAAGGTGTCGAATAATATCTACTATGCCATGTTTTAAACTTTCATTTTCTACCATTGTAGCTCAATTTATTGTTACAGTCCATGGATTCTTACTTGATTCAGATCAACTTTTACAATTACGGTAGTTATTTCAAGGATTGTAGCATGTTAAAAAAAATTAACAATATGTACTTACTTCAAGCACACCTCCACTGGAATATTTTAAGACACGAAGAAAAGCTAGAGTCCGTTGTCCTTCTACCTTTTCTGCAACCAACCATGTCAAGTAATCAATACTACATCTATTCTAGATTGAGAACTTAATTGGTACAGTCGTACAGATTTAGTTAGTTAATTCATCATAGTTAACTTCTTGTCAACTATCCAAATCTAACTTTCATAATGATTCTCTGAAAACTGAAAAACTAATCAACTGTGGATGAACCAACTCAAACATAAGATTTAAAATCTACTGTTGTCTGTTGGTCTGAATCAGCATATCTCCTCTAAAGTTATCTAAAACAAAAATTACACAACAATGGAAAGTGAAAGTTCGTTATTAGTAGCAATTAATCCTAGTAAAAGAACTTGATCATAAAGTCCACAACCAAAGGCGTCCAGGAAAACTGAAACACAATGTAGAGAGTAAATAAGTGAAATATAATAAGCTATCGGCTGTCCCCACTAGATTCTAAGCTGATTAACATCCGAAATTCAAGCACCAAATATCCAGGTTCAATTTCAAAATTAAATGCAGCGGTAAAATTCTTATTGATCAAACTGCAAGTAGTTTGCAGTTAATCATGCGTATAAATCCTATCTCCATGACCACAAATCATACATATACAATGAAGGAGATAAAATAGAAAAATATCTAAAAACAAATTGATAGTTCGTACTCGAAATGGCGAGAACACGAGGCTTGGCCATGTGACCTCGTCCCAACTTGCCGGATTTTCCCCAGATCCCACGGCTTTTGGCCACCCTGATCGACAGTACGATATCTTGTTTGGTGCCGTCCATCGCGGCCGCGCAGGCGCGCCGGAGCTCGTCATCATCGGCGCTGGATTTCGCCATTCTTCTCTGAGCTTCCGATGAGAACGACTTTTGGTTGGGGTTTTTGGTTTTCTTTTTTGGGGAGTTTGCAAGTAAAACTTGGTAAAACTATCGTGCGCGTAAGTCGTAAATGTTGAAAGTTGAAACTACATCGAAACTGTACTTTCTTAAACCACCCAAAAGATTCACGAAATTGTAAGAGTCTCCCCGTTACTTTTAATTTATGTCAATAACATCCCCGCGAGGATTTAGGTGAATGCAACCATGAGATTAGGAAAATTGGGATTAATTATGTTTATCATGACAAAATACGGATTAATTATGTGTCTTTGTTTTGATTGATGTTTTTTTTTATAAATTGCACTATATTGACGCATTCTATACATATCAACTTAAATAATACTTATAATCCAATTTTATCAGAGTCGGAGTCGAATGAAAAAAAATAGGGTATCGAATAGCTAAACTACCATTTTAATGATCCCAAATACATCTTGACATCAAAATGATTTTCATCATTTTCGACGTCAGTCTTCTACATAAGTACTATGATTTTTATATTTCTTTTTATTTTCTATAATGTCTATTTTTTGTATTTTTTTCATATTAAACAGGTTCTCGTTTATTTTTTTAATGGACATGGATGAATGTTTGTGGTATGTTTTGGTCTATTTGGATTTGTCTGTTTATCGCATATTTTTTTTTTTTTTGTATTAGACAAGTTCTCATTTATTCTCTAATGGACATGGATGGATGATTGTGATATGTTTTGGTCTATTTGGAGTTGTCTGTTTACCGCATGGTACCATAATTTTTTGCAACCGTTATGCATATTCCGTCCACTTTGGTAAAATTTTAAGTAGCCTCGATTTCAGGTTGATATTTCAGGATATTTTTATTTTATTTTTGCAGTTGATATTTTATCTATATTTAAGATTGTAGCATATTGTCTGAAACTCACAAATTTTTAATCTATAAACAGATTGGTGGTCTAACTCAACCCATCCTCATAGAGTATAGTTCTTTAAAAATAATTGACATCAAAGTGAGTTGTATCCACTTTGACAAAGACCTTATTTAAGGGTTCAATTATGTGTTGCATCCAATGAAGTCGATTGGGTAACATTCAATCATGCACATGAAAAATATTCAATATATATTTTATGTCGGTGCATCATTTACTATACTATATCATGACAATTTTCCCTTGCAATTATTATCCAGGATTTATGAATTACAAGTCAAAGCTTTGTATCACTTGATCTCTATCGAAATTGGTACATATAATAATTAGAAAAAAGATCAAATAAATTTGATCAACAAAATTATTTATCCTCCCAAAAAAGAGTGAATTTAAGTAAGAAACTCATCCCGGAATTATCCGGGATTTATTAGGGAACTTCAACTGCAAATTAATCCGATGAGTTGCATCCAAATCTGATTTCTTCACTCTACGATCCGTCTGCGCAAAAACAGCAAGTCCACGAGCAAAAGCAAATGAACCCGTACCACCCACCACTCTCAGCTCTTCTTCTTCCTTACGCCCTAGATTCTTCGCCTCAATGCTAATACTTCCAGAATATTCACGCGTATGAAAAGTAAGATAAATTATATTAAAAGCCGAATGCGCAAAGCTCTCCACCGGGATTATGAACCCCTGCGCTCTTCCGACCACCCGCGACGTGTTCTCAGGTCCATCGGTGAGCATGCGGTGGAAGATCAAAGCTCCGCCCCCACCAGGCGGCGGTGGTGCAGCGGCCGCCCCGTGTTCGCCGGAGCCGCCGGTCTGAGGCTGTTGGATGTAAAAGGAGAGTCCTACCCTAGGGGTTGTTTGGTTCTTTCTGTGGGGGACAGGTGAGAAAAGAGCAAGAAGTATAACTGCAGTTGTGGCTAAAAGGACAGCAGTACAGTATATGATTCTGGACAGCATTATTATTATTATTACAAGGGATGTGTTGAATTGTATTGCAATGTTTGAAGATGGTGACCTTTTTAATAGTCTCACTTTTGAGTGTATTTGTTTATATCTAGATGTTTTGGTAAACTAATCCACATTTTAGCTACTTCACCTAATCCTCTCTCTCTCACACACACACACACACACACACACACACACACACACACACACACACATATATATATATATATATATATATATATATATATATATATATATATATATATATATATATATATATATATATATATATATATATATATATATATATATATATATATATATATATATATATATATATATAACAAACAATACTCCTATGTGTAAGAACCAATATCATAAATTTAACCCTTTTCAAGAATCAGGATAGATTTGCTCTCGAATATGAAACTCAATCGGATAAATGAAAAAAAAAAAAGAATTATACCTAACTCCTGGGAAAAGACCTTAAGGAATCAATTTGTGAGAGGCTTCGCCTTGCGTATATGACCCATACTATTGACGAGATCCTTTCTGGTGCACACGGGGAACATATTGATTCTCTTAAACTCTTTGAGCCGCCACAGTACATAAGGAAAGCTCAGTTGATCTCGAGAAGTGAAACGAACCACCTCATTGAACCAAATGCACGTGAACAAATTCGTCAATGGAGTATGCTTCCTCACGATTATCGAAGCCTCGGCTAGTGCTGCATGCATGGATATAATCAAAACCCTAATTCATTTTATGCATCATAATCTTGACAAAGACATTATCTCGTTCATGAAAAGTTGATGAAGAATCTTTCGGAATTACCCGAATGGCAAGAGAAAATGCGTTAAAATACCATGTTTTGACACATAATGAATAATTAGATTTTATCCTCACAAGATTTAAACTTCTAAGAAAATTAATTACTAATTTTTTTAGTTTTTGAAATTCTTGTATTTAGTGTACCTTTCTTTCCTTTAAACCTCTTATCCTCTGGAAGCCCGTCTTGGCGGTACTGTGTCAACTGAACCTCGACTTCTTCTGGAGTGGCTTTATTTTTCTTCACTACAGCCTTTGCCTCGTCGTACACGCTACTGCGGGCCCCGTGTTCTGAAATTGCAAGTTCGTGATTTGAACGCCAAAGTAAGGCCTCCAACACACCGAGTGGGTCCCTCCTGAACTGGGACTTCGAGTCCACCCAAATGGAGTATCTAGAATTTGGGAAAAGACGATGGGCAAGCATCTGGATAGACAGTATTTTCTTCAATAAATGCAGGTGCCTTGAATTTTCGATCAATTTAAAATCTATCTTGGACATTTTTACTTTACCTAAGAATTCGAATGAGATGTTTATAGATTAAATATACGTGCAATTTGACCTTAGCTTAAGTGAGCCAGAAAAGCAAAAGGATTTTTGAGGCAAATATTGTAGAATGCACCTACAACGACACAGGAATTACAAGAAATATTGCTGATCCCATCACCCCATAACCTTCTTATTCAATTTTTAACAAACTAAGACCTCGTTTGGTTGTCAAGATAAGACTATGCAATCTTATGAAAACTCAATTGTGTAATTGGACTAGAGGAGATCCAACATAATTCGAGCTCATTTTTTCCACAATTAGGGCCGGCCGAAAAACTTATCAGACTAACTAGCCAAGGATCAAATTAAATATAGTTATTTTATAAATCATGACCACTTTTACCAACCAAACAAGGTCTAAGTGTAATTAATGGTCTTCCAGAGATATCAAGCAGACAGAAAACTTCCTATCACTAACACTAAAGTTTAGACTCTATACCAAAGGGGCAAAGAGGTTAGTATAAGTAGATACGCCATATGAATAACTTAAAACATATGCATATGTATATTCAATGTACAATACGTATTTAACAAAACAAGAAAAACAAGCACTCAAATTCTGTTTCTCTAGACTACCTGTTACGAGCTATTTTTTGTTGCGCAAGATTAATAACTTGCATAAAATGTAAAAAAAAAAATAGAGTTTCACACCTTTGGTATTTTACCGTTCAATCTTTGGTCTCTGAAAGGCAAATCCCTTACTACTAAAATACGCCATTTCCCAATAAAACGGCTTTCATCAACCTTGTTCCCCTGCGCTTCCTGTGTTGCAAGTGTAATTTCATCCCAGAACGCCACATAGCAAACCTACAACCATTTATGACCACACACATAAGTCATAAGTGAGAATTATACAGAATCTCCTACAAGCTTTTTTCATATTTATAAGATGATAACAACCTTCTGAAGTGAGGTTTCAAACATTCCTATAGGTTGATAAAGATCGTCACCACCACCAAACGCGCACGTAGAGACTACAACTTTGCAAGTATTCATGTAGCTTTTGTCTTCATCAGAAACCCTAAAACCTCCTCCTTCACTATAGAAGCCACAGTGGACCTCAGTTCTTTCAGTCACCTATAACATAACCGCCGTATTATTTCAAAGCTTCGTAAATATCTAGCAAATATTCCATAAAAAGCTCTGAAGCGTGGATCATTATCTGAATTAGTATCGCACCAACTAAATATTTTACAAATACAGCTTATTACCTTAAAAGAGTGTTCTCTCTGCTCGAGAGTTTGGTTTCCTGTGAATAAATTAAATCTTGTACCCTCCAAATATACTGTGGATAAGTTGAAGTTCCGCTCTTCACTGACTCTATCAGTCGCCCTTGCATAAACCAGCTCTTTTATCGGACTGTTGGAGTCTTTATCATTGGGAATTTTCAAAATCTGAAGTTTCTCTGGAGGTAGGAGCTTCAAACACCCTAACTTAATTCAGAAAAAAAAATATAGTCGTAAACTAAAACGCTGTTGTTGTAAATACGAGCAATAGATCATTAGAGCTTAGGACATAGTTCAAACATAAAATCAAATATTAACACATTAATTGGACTTTTCAATTTGACATCTATAACTTCCATCTATATCACTTAAACTGGTTTCCTGGTGTTCGTCAAATTATTGAATCCAGATACAGATTTTTCGTCCCATGATTGTATAAAGAATAAGCTGATCTTCACCCCCTTCTTAACTCCAATATTAAGCCGCGATGTAGCTTTCAAGTTGCAGAAACATAGATATTTGCAGTATGTTTCGCATTTTACTTACATAAATCAGTTGTACTATCAGAAGTTCTACAAATTCAATAACGACAAGAATCTACAATCTCAATCGTATGAGCGATAACGACACAATCCACAAGATTAGCCCAACACTATCTTAATTCAGTATTAATGACCTTGGTTTTTCGGTAATAAATAAGCAATTAGGTCACAATCTCAACAATAACGAGATGAACCATTTCAATTTTAAACTACATGTATATTTCGAGCAAGCTTGTAATGAAGATCAACCACACTAACGCATATACAATAACATAAAACCATTGAAACGTTGTCGTTTGTATACACGACCCATAATTTGCGATCCTTCCATTTTCCCCCAAAATTAAGCAGACAATTCAGTAATCTAATTCCACATATATAAAAAAAAGAGTACAATTGAAAAACGAGAAGTGTGACTCACGCTCTCTAACGCCGCCAACAACGCGGGTGGTGGGATCGAGCTTGTTCAAGTTCCCTTGGGGTTTAGTATCGCTAATCTGAGCAGCTACATTTTCGGATTTCTTAGCTCGCGGCGGACTCCGACTATCGGCGCCGCCGATTTTGAAAGCCTCGTAAACTAGGAGGGCGGTGGCGAAGAGGAGGAGGAGGGCCGGCCACCACTTGAAGAGTTTAGTGAGGATTTTTCGGGTGAAGTCCGGCCTGCCCCTTGGACCGGGTTTCTTGCGCTTACGGCGGATCGGAACCCGCATACGGGTTGAGGGATCTTCATCGTCGTCGTCGGAGACGGAGATTGAGATGCTGCTGTTCAACACTGACGACGCCATTGATTACTCAGTCCTTTGCTTTCGGAATATAGTAAGAATTAATCCAAAGTAAAAAATTTGCCGCATTTGAAAAGGATTCGTGAAATTGAAGAAATCGTGTTACTCGTTTTAATAGAAAAGAAAAGTTCATAACGCTTTATTAAAATTTCGGGTTTATTGCATTCAGCACCCCTATATCTTATTTAATTGTTAAAAATGCTTCTTATCTTAATTTATTGGTGAAAACCTCTCAATAATTTATCTTTTTAGAAAATTACCCCCTAAGAACTCATTATTTAGGGGTTGTGTACTTAGAAGAATGCATTACCCCTAAGGACGTCATCAGCTTATTTTCATTAATTTATTGTTGATTGTATATTGTCATTAATTTATTATATTCGTATAATTTTCACCGAGTCTGATCAGTTTACTATCAATTTCCGTTTGGTGACGATAAACTTTATTCTAATGAATGTATATTTCATTTAATTTCTATCACTTCTCTAATTTGTTGTCATTTTTATTGATTTAATATCAGCTTATTTTTAGTTTTAATTGGTTTACTATCGAAAATCTTTTGTTACGATAATCTCATATACTAAAAAATACGAAGAGACAACAACAGAGAGTAGTAATTCTAACACATGGAATCGTATTTCGTTTCACAACGGTACATTCTCCAATAATTCAATCGGACCGAGCTTAAGTGAGTTAGTGACACAAATATTAGACTGTCTCCAGTGGATTGAGAATTGGACCGAGTTTAAACTTAAATAGCTCAAACAATTATATAACCCAACCCCAAAACTCCTTAATAAGATGAAACCCACTATTGCAGGTTCTAGACCCGACCCACTTGGATCTCATTAAGCTAATTAAACTCAATTAAGACCCCAATCTCACATCAATTCAATTATCCAACAATATAAGTATCTTTAATCTTCAAAATTAGAGATAATCATCATTATAAATGAGTTAGTTCATCTTGCCACCTATGTTTTTCTCATGGAGCTTCATTTGATTTATTTAAATATATTTGTTTATGTGTAATGACTTATGTCCCACCTTTACAGCCAATTACACCTCTTATATTTCTATTAATAATAAATAAAATTAAGAAATGGGGTCAAGTGGTTCAAATATCTTACAAATAAAAAAATAATAAAATAATAAAATAATAATAAATCCCAAAATCCCATCCCCGTCAATTCCCATTCACTTGCTACTCCCACCCCCACTGGCTCACTCCCACACAGGAAAAAAAATGGCTGCCATATTTTCCGTTTCCCATTTTACCCCTCTCCCATTTCTCTATTTACTAATACTCCTCTCTTCCTACCCTTTCCCCATTTCCTCCTTCAACATCACCTCTCTCCTCTCCTCCTACCCCGATCTCTCCGACTTCAACAACCTCTTCACCACCACCGCCGTCGCCGCCGATCTCACCACCCGCACCTCACTCACACTCCTCGTCGTTCCGAATGCCTACCTCCGCTCCGCCTCCACCTCCGCCTCCTCCCACCCTTCCCCGACCAACCTCGCCGACGTCCTCCGCTACCACGTCCTCCTCGAGTACATCACCTTATCCGACCTCCGCCTCATTCCCCCCACCGGCAAAATCGTCACCACTCTCTTCCAGACCACCGGCCGCGCCGCCGCTAATTCCGGCACAATCAACATCACCGTCGATTCCTCCGGCGCCGTCACGTTCCACTCCCCAACCTCCAACGCCACCCTGCTCTCACCGGTCAAAACCCTGCCCTACAACATATCGATCCTCTCGCTCAATTCTCTCCTGATTCCGTACAACGTCGATCTCACGGCGTCGGAAACTCGCCCGCCGCTAGGGCTCAACATCACCAAGGCGCTAATCGACGGCCACGATTTCAACGTGGCGGCGTCCATGCTCGCCGCCTCGGGGGTAGTTTCGGAATTCGAAGCCGACGAAGGCGGCGCGGGGATCACGCTCTTCGTCCCCACGGACGAGGCGTTCTCCGATCTGCCTTCCTCCGTCAAATTCCAGTCGCTACCCGCCGATAAGAAAGCAATGGTGTTGAGATTCCACGTCCTCCACTCCTACTACCCATTGGGATCTCTCGAATCGATTGTCAATCCGGTTCAACCCACTCTAGCCACGGAGCTTAACGGGGCGGGTAGCTTTACCCTAAACATTTCCCGGGTTAACGGGTCAGTAGGAATCAACACCGGCGTACTACAAGCTTCGGTGACCCAAACGGTCTTCGATCAAAACCCCGTCGCAATTTTCGGGGTTTCGAAAGTGTTACTCCCCAGAGAGTTTTTCGGTAGCAACCCAATTGATCTAAACGAGCCCAGCGGCGGCGGTGGTGGAGGAGCAATGGGCACCGCTCAGCCGCCGGAAACCGCTCTCTCGCCGGAATATCCTCCAATATACAGCCCGCCAAATCATCCGGGAATGGGTAACCGGGCGGCTGAAACAGTGGGGGTTATGAGAATACTCTTGATTCTGTGGTGTACATGGATCTGTTGCCACCTATTTCTATAGCTATATGAAATTGATTTTGATTTTTGGATTTTTGTGTGTGATTCATTCCATAACACGAGAAAGAAATCAAGAACTGTTGAGATATTTGCTATCTGCCAACAATTTAGGGTAGAAGATGGTACCCCCATTCAATTGTCACCATTTATTCAATCTGCACTATTCTTATTGTAAAGAAACTGAAATTTTTGGATATTAATAATATGTAAAACTAGTACCATTGTTTTCTGTACGAGTTTGAATTTACTACAGAAGGTGTGAGGTTATCAATGCAGAATTGCAGGTGTTGTACTTTTGATGTTATTTTTCTTTTCTTTACAGCAAAACAGAAGAGGGAAGAAAAAGCTAGATGATGAAGTTGCAGATTTTGGTTAACAGTATATTAAATTGTGATGTATGTTATAAAGGGTGTGTGGAGAAGTTCTCCTTTTGCTTACACAGTTCTGCTCTTTCCCATCTCATTTTTACCAGGTATTTCTATGTTTTATTATATATTTGTTAATAATTGCCTCTCTTTTTTTTTTTCCCCATTTCTTCTTGGATAATTGAGTAGCATAAATGAGAGTCGAGATATGATATATTTATCTCTAAAAGATTCTTTCATTGTTCAACTAAGCCCTTCTTAAATTTTGCCAAATTCATAGGGCCCTTTAATTTTAAGAGATTTTCAAGAGCTTATAAGATGTTTAAGAGCTTATAAGTTCTTCCAAAACTTTCGTAGTTTTTTTCTAAAAGATAATAATAATAAGGTCCTTTAATTTTAAGAGAGCTCTGTAATTGGGTTATGTGTGTTTGGGTGGGGTGTTTAGTACATAATTTCTTAATAAACTACGATAAGAGTTCAATTTTCTCATAATTGTAGACGGACTCAAAATTGTATTCTTAAATGAAATTTCAAATAATGTATTATGTTCTTAAATGAAATTTCAAATAAGGTTCAAGTATTTCTCACGAGTAGCAGAAACTTAGAATATGTAATGAAAATTAATATAGTTCCACAATATTTTATGCACCCATGAGCCAAAAAGATTCCATCCACTCTGAGCTCCTCGAATAAATAGGACTCAAGTCAATAATTATAGTAGCCAATGATGGTACGGATAAATAGGACTCAAGTCAATAGTAGCCAATGAAGGTACCATTAGTGAGTCAAGTCAGCCGTGTACGACGGCATTTTACTCACGGTTGACGGAGAGTCTAGGGGCAGCACAAAGGAAGAAAGCAGAAAGGGAGGCGTATAAAGAGATGTATGGTTTCAAATGAGAAAGAAGAGATCAAATGAAAGAGTATTTAAATAAGATAAGGATTGTGCTTCTGCAATGATCGATGGTAGAAAGACAGTCTATTCAATGCTACATCGGGTGAAATACAGTGGTAGATTTTTACTATTTATACACACACATATTTGTGTGTGTAGATCAACGATAAACAATCATGTTTACCGCGGTGTAGTCTTCACCGAGTATCACATATAAAATAACCTAGAAGGACCTACCACATCATTTGGGCCAGAAAACACAACAAAGGCCCATTTTGAAAAGAAAAAAAATGATATTGGGTTTTCTTATATCATATTATGCTTACTAGACTCTACCAAATGCATCCGATTCGGACCATAAAGATCTTAATCCAATATGATCCAATCTGTATATTCATCACACTTTTTATACACATCAAAGAAAGTATGATCTCTCCTCGAAAAAAAATAATTATGTTTATAGAATGTTTCGAGATTCGGGCTGAAATTCAAATCAAGCTATTCGATTCTTAATTCAAGATTGTTAGTTAAAATTTCCATTTGAGCTGGATTTGTTAACGTAATGAACCAAATTTGCGACACATTTACGTTTGATAATCTTTAAAGTTGACTCGAGCTACAAAAAAGTAACTTCGATTTGTGTTTGGCCAGATTAAAGCTCATTTATCAAACTCAACACAGATTTAAAAACTCGATAAAAATTGAAACAAGCTTGAACAACTATAAGTTCGGTTCCAATCTGACTTGTTTACACAATGCTTTTATTTATTTATTTACTTTATATATTATTATTATTATTACTATTATTGAAAAAATTGCAAATTTTTTTAATGCTTTTAGTTAGGGTCTTCTGGTAAATTCTTTTGTTGTGAATTAGTCAACAAAGTTGGGTTTGACTAAATTTGGATAATTATTCAAGTTGATTTTGTTTTGGAAAAGAGATTAATTTTATTGGACTACATATAATATACATCATCGTAGTGGGCTAAAAAAAATTAGCCCATCAATTTGCCACTAAACACTATTTAACCTAATGCACACACAAATTTTCCATACCATACAAAAAAGTCCACTCTTCCATAATCACCATCACACTATAATATAAATATATCCTATTGTAAATGATTATTTAAAAGCAGAAGTTAGTAATTATGATTTAAGTTAGTTTTAAGTGCTTATTTCTAAAAGTTGGGGGTGTTTGCAAATATTTCGGAAAATAAACTAAAATTGAAAAAGCAGGGTTAGGGGTGCTTTTAAAAAAATAGCTTAAAGCAGATTATTTTAAGAGAAGCAAAAACAAAAGTTGATTTTGCAAACACTTAAAAACAGATTATGAGCAAAAAAAACCGCATAATCACTTTCAAAAAACATTTGCAAACACCACTATAATTTGAATTGACTGGATTATACATAATTGTATAAATAACAAATACTACTATGTTTAAAAGAAAATATACTGCAATAGAATCTTGATAATTTAAGATTCAAAAAAAAAAAAGAATCTTGATAATTTAATATTTTATGAATTAGTTCTTATTTAAATAATATCTTTAATCCGGTTTTAACCTTAGAAACAACATGCTAAACTAATAATAGATAAATTTAGGATAAATTATGAAAATCTCCTGAACTTTTATCAAATTACGAAAATACCCTTATTTATCTGTAATTACTAAAATTCTCCGGATACTTATTTTTTCCTTACACCGACCGCCTTACAGTGTGATTTTTCACGAAATCTTTTTGAGTTCAGAGAATATTTTCCAAGAAATGCCAATTATACCCCTACTGACGTGGAATTACTTTTATGCTACTTTTTAAAGGTAAAAATTACGCTCAAAGGAGTAATGGTAGTACTAATAAGTTGCGAACGGATCAGTATAAGAAAAATAAAGATTTTGTTTAAAGGCCCTCATAGGGTAAATTTATCTCTCAAAAGTAGCATAAAGAAATACCACATCTGAAGAGTAGAATCGACATTTTTTGAAAAATATTACTTGTAATAAAAAAATCGTGAAAAGTCACATAGTAAAGGAGTTGGTGTAATTTTGAAACAAACATCGGGGTGAATTTAATAATTACGGATAGCTAGGGGTTTTCATAATTCACACATAAATTTATTGTAGTGTGCTGTGCATAGGACTGAATAGAGGGGTAGTGCCACGCGCCGTGGTGGGATATTTTGTACAAAAAAAAAAAAAAAAAAAGGAATAGTAGTAGTAGTAATTAAAAGATGAACCGGCTATCAGGATTCATTTAAGACCGACCTTTATTGTGGTGCTGCCAGTCAACGCCCTCTCCTATTATTAACAAAGACGTGTTTGTTTGTTTAATTATTAAAAGATAAATTAAATAAATACAAAAAGTTTGAAAATCCAAACAAAAATGTGATGGAAGGAATCCCACCACCTAAGTCTTGACTCTCATTCACAGACCTCTGTTTTTATTATCTCTCTCTCTCCTCTCCACCAAAAGTCAACCCTCTCTCTCTCTCTCCCCTCTCTCTTTCTCTCTCTAAAAAAAAATAAACTCTCTCTCTCTCTCTCTCTCTATGAACATTTTGCCTTCTCAGTGATTACAACACACATTCAACCACATGAAAAGTCTTGACTCTTTGAGCATACACCGATAACAACGCTACTCTCTCTCTCTCTCTCTCTCTCTTCATTTCTTTTTCTTTTTTTTTTAATAGAATCAGTAGATGGGAAACGGGGCAGGGAAACTGACGGTGTGCTTCACCGGAGTGGGGCCCACGGCCGACGATCCCCGGCGGAGGAGGAAGGATATGGCGGCCGGAATGGTTATTCCTGACCCGTTAGACGATCTGGGTCACTCCTTCTGCTACATCCGACCCGAATTGACCCGACTCTCGTCGTCCAAGGTCCACTCCGAAACGGACGACCCCTCGACGACGACGTTTCGGTCAATCTCCGGAGCCGCCGTGAGCGCCAACACCTCCACCCCTCTCTCCACCGCCTTGCTCGACCTCTACTCCTACAACACCGTCGACCGCGCCTCCGCCTTCGAAGGCTCCACCTCCTTCACCTCAATCCCCCTCCAGCCCATTCCGAGGAACTCATCCGTGCACTCCGGCCCGCTCTACAATCCGGGTTTGGTTCCCAATTCGGGCCCCATGGAGAGGGGATTCATGTCCGGCCCGATCGAGCGGGCGTTCATGTCGGGCCCACTCGATCCCGGAATATTCTCCGGCCCCCTCGAGAAGGGCCGCTCCGATCAGTTCCTGCGAAGCTACTCCCACGGCGGATTCGCCTTCCGGCGCAGATCGAGAAAAACCTCCTTAATTCGGGCCCTCAGACGGGCCTTGTCAAGGGGGATTTCGAGAGGCCAGAACTCAATCGTGGCACCGATCAAAGGCCTGGTTGCAATGAAGGAAATCGATTGGGCGGTGAGCTCCGAGAAGCAAAACGAATTGACAGTTAACAGCAGTGTGAATTTCAGCAGCGAGTGCAGCTTAGACGAAGACGAGCCGTTAGAAAGCCGGAATCTGCAGTGGGCCCAAGGAAAAGCCGGCGAAGATCGAGTCCACGTGGTGGTTTCCGAGGAGCACGGTTGGGTTTTCGTCGGAATTTACGATGGGTTCAACGGTCCAGATGCACCGGACTATCTGCTATCCAATCTGTACTCATCTGTTCATAAAGAGCTCAAAGGTTTGCTCTGGGATGACAATAGTACATCCAATTCATCTTCTGCTGCAATCGGGACTTCCATCTCGGCAGAAGACGAATCCAATTCGAATCAAGATTCCAACGAGGACAATTCGCGCGACAGGACTAAAGACGGTTGCTCGAGATGCGTAGAGCAAGAGAATTACCCTTGCACAAACGGCGACACTAATGGCGAATTGAGGTACAAGAAAAAACGGGGAAGAAACACGAGGAATAAGTATAGAGGAGTGGCGAAGAAATGGGAGGAGAATCAACGGAGGTGGAGATGCGAGTGGGACAGAGAACGATTGGAGCTCGATAAAAGATTAAAGGAGCAGTTCGATAAACACAGATCGAACGGATCGAGCACAACGAATCACGCGGATGTGCTAAAGGCTCTTTCGCAAGCGTTAAAGAAAACGGAGGAGGCTTATCTGGATATTGCCGATAGAATGGTTATGGAGAACCCGGAGTTGGCTCTGATGGGTTCTTGTGTTCTTGTTATGTTGATGAAGGGAGACGACATGTACGTGATGAATGTGGGCGATAGTCGAGCTGTTTTGGCTCAGACGAAGGAGCCTGATCTTTGGAGCCAGGATTTGGAGAGGATTAACGAAGAGACTTTGTATGATCTCGAGGCGTTTGATGGTGACGCGTGCAATGCTCCGCCGAAGTTAACCGCGGTTCAGTTAACTATGGATCATAGCACCTCCATCGAAGAGGTAAAAAAATAACTAAAAAAGCCCGATTGGGAAATTTTCTTGATTTTAATCGTTCGGTTTGTTGTTAGTTGTTTTTTATATTATTGATGGTATAATTGTAATTTGTTTGATGTTCAGGAAGTTGTAAGAATTAGAAACGAGCACCCTGATGATGCTTCTGCTATGGCTAATGATCGGGTTAAAGGTTCGCTAAAGGTGACTCGGGCTTTTGGTGCTGGTTTTCTTAAACAGGTGTGTGTGTATAAATAATAATTCTTGAATTCGACTATTCGTGAGTCGATAATGTTGGTAAATTAAAAAAATTATAGATATATGCTTTTGTTTTGGTTCCTTTGTTACATGAGAAAAGCAGATTCCTAGGCCATGAAAACCGAAAAGTTGTTCTAATGAATAAAAACATTGAAAGTAAATATAGGCTATGAACTTTTTCGAAGGCTTTTACGAAATAGATAAATACAGATTTTGTTCCTATATTAAGAAGCATATTCCGAGCCGGACGCGAAAAGGGATCTCGATAGTTTCGTAGTATTTCCAACTTTCCAGCTTTAGTGATTTTTTAGAAATGGAATATTGATTGATTTGGCTATCGGTTTTGCTGAAAGAGTAAAAGGTTGAGCATGAAACTGCAGCTGAAGCAAATAAAAATATCTTGCTATATAATATTTTTCGTATAGAACAAAGAATATATTCTATCTTCCCATCAAATAGTTTTCCATGCTTTTAGCAATTGTCGAATTTTTCTAATATTTTTTTTCGTTTGAATTTGATTTTCTTGCAGCCGAAGTGGAACCAAGCACTTCTAGAGATGTTCAGAATTGATTATATAGGAAATTCGCCATATATAAACTGTCTGCCGTCACTTTACCATCACCGATTAGGGCCGAGGGACAGATTCGTAATTTTGTCATCCGACGGACTCTACCAATACTTCACCAATGAAGAAGCTGTCTCGGAAGTCGAACTTTTCATCTCTTGGTCGCCTGAAGGTGATCCAGCTCAGCATCTCATCGAAGAGTTGCTCTTCCGTGCAGCAAAAAGAGCCGGTAAATATAGTAAATACGCATATGTATATAAATACGCCTTTTTATATTTTACTCGTAATGGAAAACTAAAAAAAGGGGCTTATTCGTAATTTTGCGTCCTAATAATAATTCAGGAATGGATTTTCACGAATTGCTCGAAATACCACAAGGGGATCGAAGGCGTTACCATGACGACGTCTCGATAATCGTTATTTCATTGGAGGGAAGAATATGGAGATCATGTGCATAGTTAGCGAACGAGAAACGCATCCAAATTTTATTTTTTTTTATTTTAATTTTTGTTATTTGTCAACCTTTGTAGAGAAATATGATCTGTGAATTTATGTGAAGGTGAAAAAAAAAATCACCAGTTTCACTGAAAAAAATGAACTTGTTTTTTTTGGTAATTAATAAAAATGGCAACCTAAAGAAGGAATTTTGATAATGATTTTCATTTTTTCAGCACTTATTCAACGAATTGCATAAAACTGTAGTAAATGCAAATGCAGGTGGGGAGATTGGTTGGTTGATAGATTTATTTATTATATATGAATGTAATGAAGAAGACTGTCATCTTATTCCTACCTTTGTCATTAATAATACTTGAACCGATAACCAATTATTACACTCTATTCAATCTCTATATGTATGACATGTTACAATTTTTTGAGGTTTTTTTTTTTTTATTATTCAAGATATTTGTATTTTCTTACGACCCGTTTGGGTGAGTTTATTTTAAATAGCTGATAAATTGTTTTAAGAACTAATAAACTGTTACTTCTTACTTTTAGAATTAATTTTTGAAGTGTTTGAATAATAAATTTATAAGCTGTTTTTACTCATTATAATATCATATTTGCTATTCACCAACTTATTTTTTGAAATTTTAAGATATTTTTAATAAAAATACTAAACATTTTGAAAAAAACTTTTAAGCTTCTAAACACATTATAAGTTGTTTTTAAGACCCTATAAGATTAACCAAACACCCTCTAATTGGGTAGGTGAATAAAATATTAAAGAGAAAATACAAAATGTTAGTGAGTTTGAAAATATATATAGATCAATTGGAGTATATTATTTGATGAAAATTTAGTAAAATAAATAAGAAAAAGTGGACCAGATGAAATATGGAAATGCAAAATTAATGATCACAATTTTCATCTAACAGTTTAGCCTTACAGTCACGGCATTCAACAAAGTTGACCACGTGCTACAATTTCAATATATTGTTCTAAAATTGATTTGCTGTTTATTGACTTTTCTCATCTTAGTCAAAAAATAAATAAATAAATAAATAAATAAAATTAAGGAATTTCTGGTCGTAGCATAGGAAATAGGGGTTATTTGTCTTAATTAAGGTCCAATTTTCTGGTCTAGATATAAATTGACAACAAAAAATATATGAAAAAAATTGACTAAGAAACTCTTAAAACAAATTATTTCACAATTAATTTAATTTAATTTAATTTCAAATTCTCCATCTTTTTGGTAATTTATGAGATGCATGGATTTAGCAAAAAAATGACGTAATTTAGTTTAAACATATATCTACAGAATTATTATATTCTTTTTGCTGAGATAATAATTAACAATTAAGAAATATATAAAATTTGGTTTATGCATGTTCATGGGCTCATTCTGCCAAACAAGTAGGCCCAATAACTGCAGTGGTTGACAATTAAAAAAAATTAGGATTGGCTATTTTTTTTATTTTATTTTATTTTAATACATTACCAACAACTAAATTAAAAAAATAAAATAATTATATGTATCATTGATGGCTAAGTTTGAAATTCGATGACGAAATAGCACAAACTCCAAAATTTCACGACAAATTAGTGGTTCAGATGTTGACCTTTAAAAATACTATAAATTAAATTCGAATTTATTTTTATTTAACTATTAAAAGAAAAAAAAGTCCAACTCCTATGACGTGCCAACAACACAAAAAACACCACCCATTTCTCCATTAAACAATTTCTATAGTACAATATTTTATGCTCAAATTTCTACCTAACAATAACCATCTTATTTTATACCACTAGTTGCATAATTGGTGTTAAGAAATGGAATATATCTATTTTCATCAATAATAAAAGAATTCACAACTAATCATATATGTGCAGTTGGTAAGTTCACACTTTCGTATAATAACTTACAAATTATATCAGTGATGTAAACCACATTAGACTAACTGCGTGATAAATTGACAAGTGGTATCAAACTTGTATTATTTCACACAAACTTTCTTATTCTAACTATTAGCCTATGACTTACGTGACTAATAAAAAAAGAAGGGTAAATTACAAACACCCCCTTGAGGTTGTCAATTTACGAAAAAACTCATGTTATTTGGATAATTACATATACCCCCTTCAAGTATGATTTTTGCTTACATCTCCATCTTTATGGTGTCATCTTCGACATAATCATCTAGATTTCGTTGAATGTGTTTTAATTTGTACTTGTTTTGTGTAAAAATACAGTTTCTGATGCACCACAATCTGATATATACAAGCTAAAAAACACATATTATGATCATCTTGATTCAAAATGCGTAGTTCGAATGGGATAAAGCGGGTACAAAAGTGATAATACTCCATATAATCTAGAAGATTTCACTAAATTTGAAACCGCAAGGGTGGACGTGTAAGAAGATTTATAGTTGAGGGGTGGTTGTAATTATCCAAACAAGGGGGGGGGTTTTCGTAATTTGAGCATACCTCAGGGGTGTGGTTGTAATTTACCCAAAAAAGAAATATTAATGTCATAGATTGAATAGTAGTTAGAGGGTCACTTTCTCACCTCATCTTATCAAAAAAATTAAATAATAATAATAATATAGTTTTTATCGACATTAGTCTCATTATCAAGAAAATGTCAAACGATGTGCAAAACAATCATACAACACAAGGAAGAAAAAATCAAAGAAAACTAATAATATGAACAATCCACCACCTAGCTTCCATGAAATCAAGAAACAAGCTTCTTTCTTCTTTAGAGAGAAGATCAAGACTGCCCGGTTGGCCCTCACCGATGCCACGCCAGCACAACTGTCTCTCTCTCTCTCTCTCTCTCTCTCTCCTCTTTCTCTCTCCTAAAAAGTTTTATATAGTGTCATATAATATAAATATGTTTGTTTCTCTTACAAACTTTTTGTGATTATTTGTCTGAAGATTGGCAGAAGAAGCTACAAATGGGAATCTGGGCGGCCCGGATGCTCGGATCTTGAAAATATTAACCAAAGCTGCTTTTGAAGTTGATGATTATTGGAGAATTGTTGGGATTCTTCACAAAAGGTCTCTGTTTATTTTTTTTTTAAATTAATTAATTTATTTTATTAATTGATGATTGGCATTTTTAATTTTAAAAAAAAAAAATTGGATTTTGGATTTTAGACTAGTGAAATTTGAGAAGAGAAATTGGGTAGAATCATACAAGGGTGTAGTGGTGCTGGAATACTTGTTGACTCATGGACCTGAGAGTGTTGCAGAGGAGTTTCAAAGGGATAGAGATGTCATTTCACAGATGGCAGCATTTCAATATATTGATGAGAAAGGGTATTTAATATTTATTTACTTACTTCTCCCTCTATTTTACATGCATATATTAAGAAACTAACATAAATACGTTTATTTTAGCAATATATATATATAATTATGAATCCAACATTCGTATTCTAAAGTGCGTTCATTTTATAATATTTTTCACTTTTGAGAATTTTTTTATAATGTTTCATCCGTCACTTTAGAATATCAATACTGCGCTAATTACATAATTTTCAAAGACAAGGGCCTTTTAGTCTAAAAACATACGTTTATTTCTAAAATCTAACCACATTTAGGGACATCATGAATAAAAAAACAACAAAAGAAAAAATTCTCGAAAAATCGCAGTTAATTTATTCGAACAAATCTACTTCTAAGTATCTTGTTTGAATATATGTGTAGATTTAATTGGGGTCTGAACGTGAGGAATAAATGTGAAAGAACATTGAAGCTACTCGAAAAAGGCCCGATTCTCAAAGAAGAAAGAGACAAGGCAAGAAAAATCTCGATAGGGATTCAAGGATTCGGCAGCTTCTCCCACAGAACTTCATCGGGGCAAGAAATTAATCAAGAATCATCGCTAAAAGCATTTGACAGATGCAATTCACAGTTCAATGATCACACTTTTAATCAAGAAGATTCCCTTTTCGCCCCAAGTGAAAAAGATACCGTCAAGACAATCACAGAGAATAATAGTCTGCCGGAAAAATCGAGTTGTACTCCAGTGGATTATTCAAAGGAAACATTGGGTATAAATGAGAGAGAGGCTGTGGGTGAATCAGACTCCCTTTTGAATGAGCGAAAAAACGAGCCGAGGGGGAAATTTTCGATGGAAGAATGTCATCCGTTCGATGATGGTGAGCATCTAACGGCACTGATTTGAACGGTTGAGATATATGAAAGAAACCATGTTTAAGAATTGGAGTTATTGATGTTTTTTTTAAGCAAGATTCTGATTATAATTTATAGCCATATTGAGGACTCTTGATGTATTATAAAATTGAAATGTAGCGCAACATAGTTAACCTTTGGTGGCATTAATTTTTTTTAATTTGTTTTTTTTATAGCTTTTAAGCAGAATCATATGGTGTATTTAAATAAATTAATTAAATTTACTCATAAAACATAACAAATGGATAATAATATGTTCCAAAAACAAAAATAATAACAACAATGAGATATTATTAATTATTATATATGAAAAAAGAAGAATAATTTTAAACATTTTCCCACTTTTTTTATAGAATTAATTATAGAATTAATGTTAATTAATATATTATTTGAGCGCGAAATTATTAATTTTTCTTTATTTCCGTTCACTATTTAAAAGAATAATTATGAAAGGAAATTCAACTTTTTGTGTAAATAATCTCTTCCCAAAAGCATCTGCAAGTACCAATTTGACAGCAACCCTAAAACTCCGATCATGGCAAAATGGTAGAACCAGCTGAAGAATTTCCGCTCCACCAAAATCCGAAATGGAAGAAGCATTCCATAGCTAGTTGTTTCGTCTCTCTCATCTCTGTTTTCGTTACCCAATTCACTTTTACTCTGCTCCCTCTGTTCCTCCCCGGCTCATCCTTTCTCACTCTTCTTCCTCTCTCAGGTTCAATTTCTCTCTCTAATTGCCAATAATTACTTTCAGCTCGATAATCAATTTTCTTAGCAATTTTGTGTTTTTTTAATGAATTGCAGCGGTGTTGCTTCTAATCGTGGTAGGGTTTGGGAGAATCTGCAAGAAGGTCGCCGGCGTTAGGGCTTCGGCCCCTGCTTTTGTTTTCCTTACCGTTTTCTTCATCTGGGTTGTTTACCTTACTGTTATTCGCCGAGGTACCTATGTTGCTAATTCATTTTCTTCGATTTATCATAATTTAGTTGTGAAAAATTGCTGCCAAATTTTTTAGTGTGTTTGGATACTTCAATATTGGTTGGGTTTTCTTAGTTTGATTGCTTAATTGGATGCAAAAAATGTAAGTGCTAGCTTAATTGGAACCACGCTTGTATGAACTTCATAATCATCTATGTATATTACGAAAGTGCATTTCCTTTATCCATGAATTTAAAATGGAAAATCAGACATTGTAGTTTATCTCCATATTTGGTGAAGCAAATTCGATTTCCGACATTCAAATTTAGCAGACAATTAGTGAGCCATCTATAGACAGTGTTAGTAGGAAGTTGCTCAGAAATTATGTTGCAAACGCAAATTTATCTAGATTTATTTGTTTCGCTATCAGTAATTCTTACTATTTGTGTGCAGCTATTTCATCTTTTGTGGACGTTGTTTTTAACATAGAGATCATCGTGGTCATAGTTGGCCTATACCGGTAAGTTCCTTATTGGTGCATTCAACAACTCATACACGATTACGTATCCACTTGCACCAGAACAAAATTATTGAATTTTCTCCATATCTTTAATTCATCGCATTATTGGTTGCAGTATTATGTCATTGGACCCGGGCTTTGTAACCCATAATTCTTCCGGCCATGACCTATTTGTCCAAAGCCCTCTCAGCGAAGTTGAATCCCAAGGCGAGGTGCTGTAAACTATTTATTTTCTTGCTTATTGTAACATAAGTTTTGAAAAACGTAGAATTTCTATTGGAGTTCGAAATGTCATCACTAACTTGGAACGAAACAGAGAAACATGTGCATACAGGGCACTTGTCAGAAAAAATGGACAATACTTGGAATAGTTTATGTACTCAATTCCAGAATAAATGATAAACATGTTAGTCTCTGCGTTCTTTTCTATGTATTTATTTGCGAGTAGTAAACATTGCGCTGTTTTCCAGGTTTTTGCGGCACATAGGAGGGCAAAATATTGCAAGTACTGCAAGAAATACGTTTTGGGCTTTGACCACCATTGTCCTGCTTTTGGAAACTGTATAGGTAATAACTTTTGCGTGTCGTCTACATTTTCTTGAATACTTAGCTGTTACTGAAATCCTCTTTGTAGTCTTTAATAGTTCATGATATCATGTATAATTTCAGAAGAATCCGTTAGGAATTGTATTGTTGCTATGCAGGCCAAAGAAATCATGTTTTCTTTATAGTGCTCCTGGTTGGATTTGTCTTGTCCGAGGCGTCTTATGTAGGATGTGCTTCTCAGTGTGAGTTCAATCCAATTTTATTTTAACTTCTACATTTCGCAATACAGATATTTGTATTAAATGTCAGGAGAAAAATAGCAGAGTAGAGTGAAAATTAGGAAAAGAAAAAAAAAGATAGAGACTTAAAATTCGTCATATGAGTGAAATGTTTACTTTATGGAAGAAATTCAGTTTGATGTGTAACTGTATCATCTCATCTTTTTTTTTTTTCTTTTGGTGCTGTTTGATTATTGATAATTCAAATTATATTTTTAAATACATTTATAATAAATACGGATTACCAACTGAAAAATTAGCTAGGGAATTACTTCTTAATGTGTCTAATATTTGGTGCTATTTTTTGTTTTGTCGTTTTCCTTTATTTTATTTATTTTTTAAACCTCTTTGGATTTTCCGCTCAAATTCACTTACTCTGTTGTTTAAATTGTCCTTTTTTCCAGTTACTGCCAAGTCTCAGACGTTAAATGAAGATGGAAGGGAGGAGGTATGTTATACAGCCCCAGATCTTGCCCTTTGATGCACTTGGTTAGCATCATTACATAGTTCGGTTTTCTTGATTTCTTCTTACAGCAGATTCTATTTCCTTTAGTTAAATGTTTTAATATTGTGATATCACATTAGTGTTTTAATTCCGGCAGATTACTACTTCCAGAAACTTGGTTCTTGGTACAATGTTGTTCTGTCTAATTCAAGTGCTCTGGCAGGTACTTCACACCTATGTATCTATTCCAGTTACAGTTTCTTGATTTTAGCTGAAGAGATTCTCAATAAGACAGCTCTTTTTTTTTTTTTCTTTTTCTTGTCTGAAAAACAATTATTTTTCAAACTTGTAGGTGGTTTTCATCTTATGGCATGTTTATTGTGCATGTTCTAACATCAAAACTGATGAATGGGTAAGCTGTATTTTCATTTTAAAGAAGTGAAAATAAGGCTTTTATTAATTAACATCATATGTGATGCCTGCAAATTTCGTCTTTCATACCGTCAAAGGAAATAGTTGACTTGGACGACATTTTTCACAGATAAACTGGGAAAAATATCCGGAATTCAAGGATAAAGTCATCTCTCATGCTGGTAATATATACTAGAGATAGTTCTTTCGTAAAGTGCACACACATTTTTTTTTTTTTTAATTTCAAATATATTGTTTTTAGATCTATATATATGCAAGAATTCTGAGTTGAAGAACTATTCAATTGCAGGGCAAGAACATAGTGGCACACAATTTACGAACCCGTATGACAAAGGAATTGTAACGAATCTGAAGGAGTTCCTAACAGCAAAATGATTTGAATTCCGATATTTGTCGTTAAAAGCCTAAAGCTAAATTTGGTAATGGAATTAGGCCTGAAATATCAGAAACAGAGGAGGTAAGCAATGAATACACCAAGGCCTTGCTTGATACAGAACCAAAAAAAAATGTGGTTACATAGTGTGTGTGTGTGTTTGTGTGTGTGTGTGTGTATTCTTGTATTATACGTGATTGTTACATGTATGGTATTCGACTATGTGTGCTTGGTATAGTATGTATTAGAAGTTGTGACTTAGAATTCAGAATTCTAATCATATTTTATGTTTGGTAGGTTGAATATGCTGAGATGTGATTTTCTTTTTATTTCAATACTTGGAGAAAATTACATTTTTCTCCTCTCAAATTTGCGCCAATTTCATATTCGGTCCCTCACGTTTCAACAATTTGACATTTTTGGTCATCGAGGTAAACTCAAGGCTTAAAACTCGTTATAAACAGTCTATGCTACCAAAATAGATATTTATATCTATCATTTTCATTCATAATATCTAAAAAGGTGTTTAAATCAAGGAAGGTAAAGCTTCTCATCATGTACACACACTTTGGCAGTTTATTGGATGAATTATTCAAGATTTGACATTTGAAATGAATAGGATATTATCTTTTATATATTATATATACATAAATACAATCCTTTTTTGTACCCCATGAAACTGATTTGCACCAAATATCTGTAAGAATGCAATTTGCTTGAGGGCCCTTGTCATTATATTTTTTGTGGAAGATATTTTTATTTTCTATTAATTTCATAATCAAATTGTGATGATGCATAATCATCCACTCCACGCAACTTATATTGATTCTTGAATCTTTAACAAGGCCCCCTAACCACCACCAATTTTTCATATCACACTTTGTTTTTCAACCACTTGACATTTCGTTGTCCTTTTAGTATGTGACAAACCAAATCATATGCATTACGTGTACTCTTTTATTTTTATTATTTATGATTTTTTTTAATCTTTTTTATTTAAGTTTTAGCTAGTCATTTATCTATCCTACTTAAGATGTGGAATTAGATCTACTGATTTTAAGGAATAAATGATACATCTTTACTCTCTTAACATTTAATCAAGTGCAGTATACATCGTTCTGGCCTAGCAGTTGGAGCAATTAAACATGTGTCAATTGACCCAAATTCGAATCCTCTTCTCTACGATCACTAGATTGAAATTATCACACATGGTTCGCCTAGTGTAATTTACGTCTCTCGTATGATTTGCAAGAATTTTTTAATGAAATGTTCAATATTAAGATTTAGATTAATTGATGTTTTTTGACTTGATAATTATCTGCTGTTTTACCTAATTAATTGAGTCGACTAGTGTGAGCACAGATCTTTATAGCAGTATTTATTTATTTATTTTTATTTTTTTATATAAAATTTACAAGTTGCTAATCTTTAAATCATAATAATCCCCATCCCCAACCCCATGAAGAAAAGCAAATAAAAGACAGAAAAATTGACAAGTTGCATTTGTTTTTTTCTATCAATTCCCTCCACCGCAAAAGGTGGTATCGCTGTTTAATAAAATAAAATAAAAAGTTAGATCGGTCAAAATGATTTATTTTATGATGATCATGCGATTGGATCATACAAATTAATTCACAAATCAATAATTAAGTTTAATCCAAAATAATGTAGAGTAGAGACCAACCACGTATCTCAGATCAATAATTATTCAGCCAAAGTTAATAATTCAAAATAAAATAAATAGTGACGCATCAACAACATTGGGACAGATCTTAGAACATGGATAACCAGAATTCTCAGCAGGCGAGTACAAAAAACAATTAAATCAAAAGGGACAATAATCACATGGAAACACAGAAATTCTGTCATACAAATTATTTTTTTGAAATAAAATAATTCAACTGTTTATTACAAAACAACAAGAATATGGGACAAACAAACACTACAGTACTCAATTATATTACAGTACGTGGTCTCAAATTCTAGCCACCACTCACTCGTACAGTCTTTTCATTCATCATGTATTACAAGGAGCAATGAAATAATTTTGAATTTTCAATATTTAAAAAAAGAAAAAGAGAATAGCTTCCTATTTAATTCCAATATTTCAAGAATGGAAATAAAATCCCACGAATAATATACTATTTGCCAAATCCCAAACCTGCAAACATTGCATTTGCTTATTTTTCAAATCTACAAAGCAAGATGCATAGAGCTATATATGTATTATATATCAAGGCTCAACGGCTTATCAAGAAGTTCGTTTTCAGCAGCGATCCGACCCGACCCGCGACCCATTTTTCCAAACGAGCCGACCGCCGATAAGCCCTTAAAGCTGCTGCTCCCCTCGCTCAAGTTGCGGGCCCTCCAAGATTTGCGTGGCTTTGAGGGGTTGACTTGGTCAACATCGTTTTTAGTTCCAGTTTTAGCCACCACTAGTTTGACTATGTTACTTCTGCAGAAGGGGCAAAGTGGTACGGGTGTGCATGAAGTCGTTGGGTTGGGCTTGTTATGGCAGCACAAAGCTAGTGTGCATTGTGCACACATTTGGTGCCCACAATCTTGAACTTCGATCGTGCACACTTGGTCGAAACATATGCAGCAAAGATCCGTATCGCTTGCCTAGATTAAAATGAAATAAATTTTAGCCCGGAGTAAAATGAAAAACGGTTTTTTTTTTTTTTTTTAAAGTTACCTCGGAGATATTATCATCGATGCCAGAATCGGAGCAGGATGGAGAAGGGAGAGAGTAAACTGTTCCTTTTAAGATGACTTTTTCTCTTTCTCTATTAGCTTCCATTAAGGCTTGTTCTAGAAGAAACTTTGCTTCTTCGTTGAGTTCGCTTATGAACTTTAATGGTGATGGCCAGACAAGCGGCTCGGCGGATGAAGGATTTAACAGAGCTGCACATGCTCCATGGTGATTCCTTATAGCTACTGTATATGGTATTCTCCTGAATTGTGCAATAAATATTATTAAATGATTTTACGCAACAAAGAAATAATATTACCATATACATTTCGAGAAATTAAGAGTAAAAATGACTTCGTATAGCGATATAGATGAATAAAAACAACAGCCATGGTTCTCATAAAAAACTATTGGTTCAATTAAAGCACATAGTGATTTGAGAAAATGGACGACAAAATCGAATTAGTTTTGCAAAAATCAAGAAAATACCCTGATGAATCTCTTTGAATTCTATCGGCACCCCAAGCGAGCAATTCTCTGATGCAATCGAGCGAACCGCCTCGTGCAGCCAAATGAAGGGGAGTACTGCCAGGAAAGCTGCAAAATCGAAATCACAATTCAAAAAACAATTTCAAGAAGTCGAAAAAAACGTTGTGAACGCAGATAAATTTTTTTACCCGTATCCACCGGTTGAAGCACAAACAAGGGCACCACTGTCCAACAATATGTGAACACATTGAGGTCGTCTTTGACGTGCAGCCAAGTGCAAAGGCGTCGCACCTTTGTTATCTCTAATGTTCACAAAACGGGAGAACCCCCTATACAAATTCCGCATACATAATAATAATCACCGTTATTGTTTATACATGTTCAAGGGATAAATATACTAAATTAGGATCTCTTGTCCTAATAAATCACAAACATCCATTCTTGAATATATATATATACCATGAAGCTGAAACCTCGGGGGTTCGTGCAACGGAGAGAATGGTCTGAAGGCAATCGGAATGGCCGTAATAGGCCGCGTAGTGCAAGCATGTTCTTCCATTAAGTGTATCAAACATTAAAATCTGACCCCCAAAATTCATAATTAGGGCAATGTTAAACAGAAATTAGGAGATATCTATTGATTTTGGGATATATATATACATACATTGGAACCAGCTTCAATCAGCCTCTTCACACACGAGATCTTTCCATGCATTGCAGCTAACATCAATGGAGTCTACACATATCACAACCACCACAGATTCAAAATCAATCTTCAATCAAAAATCCAAAAAAAAAAAAAAAAAAAAAAAAAAAAAAAAAACAGAATACAATTGACACCTGCTTCAGTGCATCCGGCTTCACAGATCGGTCCAGAAGAAGCGAAAGAATCTGAAACACAAAAATAAAATTAAAAAAAAAAAACAACACCAAAAAAACAACACCAAACATTTTATTAAAGCAAGCAAAATGAAACAATTGAAGAGAAATCGGACCTCGATCTGGCCATTGGCAGCGGCGATATGCAGAGGGGAGTTGCGATCGTAAGTGG